AAGGAACATTTTCCACTGAATATTCTTGTGTACCTCTTGAATTATGAATCATATGAATATATTTCTTATTTAAAAAAATTAAATTACCAAGTTCAACTCCTTTATTTTACAAATAGAAAAACTGAGGGCCATGTTATCAAATAACGACACTAATGTACTCTTTAGCTAACTGAACTCATAATATCTGCTTCTGACATAAAGCTCTGTAACACTAGACAGGGACACTTTCCTTAACGCTCCCATTTCTCCAGATCACTTGCTGGGAAGCAGCTAAGCAGGAGGGGTTTCTGAGCTTCACACATCCTGTTTTGGTGGCAAATAACATATAAGCTCCTATTTCTCTTGCCCACTCCCACCTTTTTATACAAATAAGATCAAGTGTACAACTACATTTCTCACAAAGGCCTTTAGAAAAGCTTTTATTTGCCTGGTTCGAATAGGACAACTCAAATTTGATATGTCAAGCAAACAAACTGAAAAGGTCTTGTAGTTATGCAATGATAGAAGGGCCTAAGTCCAATGGGGAGTGGACCTCTCAACTACTCTACTTCATTTCTCTGATACCTTTTGTTGTTGGCTAAGCCACATCCTGAAATAACGCAATCACAAGATGCACCCTTTCATACTCCTCTTACTGAATTCTTTTGTAGCCTGAACACGTTTCCAGTCCACTATGAGTGCTTTAGTATGATTTATGTAAAGATTTCAGAGTGTTTTACAAATAGTATCTTAGAGTGGAAAAGCTCTACACTAAGCATCAAAGACAGAGCTCTAGACCCGAGCTTGCCACTTATTAGCATATGTGACATTAATCAAATCACCTAAACTTAATAAGAACCATTTTCTTCATCTGCTAAACAGATACAAAAATACCTTTCCTGCCAATCTCACAGGATTGTGATGTCAAATTCTTTCTAATTCTAAAGCATAGTAAGATGAAATAATATTGGTAATATCTTGCTTGCTCATTAGATGAGAAAATCTCTGAAAGGAGATGTCAGTCATACAAAGGACTCACATTTATGCCTCTTAAACTATATAGCCTTTTATAGTTCGATTTAAGAACATCAGCTGGTCAGATACATATACACTGGCAAAGCATTGCTTTTTAACTCTCTTCCTTGTTATAAACAAAGGTAGACAAACGGTCCTCCTTGTTTAAACTTTCCTTTAGTTATATTTCAATTGCCTAGATTATAATGTTGTTGGTCTGTCTGTGAATAATACTGGAAATTGATATAGTGTGAGGCAGAAAATGAGAAAACATCTGAATCCTTTTATCTTTTAATTCAGTGGAAAAATGCAATTAAATACATTATGCAAGAGAATAGGAACTTATGTCCTATTAAAACATTAATTAGTAAAGGATGGATTTAATGAAATGCAGTAAGATAATGTAAATGAAGATGAGAAATGTAGTTCAAAATCTCAGACACAGGCTACGTGGTGTGGTGGAAAAATTTGCTGGGCTAGGGACTGGAAGGCCTAGCTTCTAGATCTGGGTCTTGGGGCTTATTAGCTTTGTGACCCTGAGGAACTCAGTCCATACATTCACTTATTCAATATTTATTATGTACCTATTGAAGGTACTATGATGAACTCACTCCTGTCCTCAAGAGGTCGTCTGGTGGGAGAGGGAAACCTATAAATAATTAAAATACAATAGGAAATGTATGAAGTTACAGATTATGCATAATAATGCAGCTGGGTGGGAGCTGATAAAGAGTCATCAGAAAAACTAGGAGAGCGGAATGAAGCCTACAGGTACAGTTACAGCATTCCCCTTTCATTAATAAATTGAACGATTACAATCTAGGTGCTCTGAACTGCTCCAAAATCATATAAACTCTCATCATAGTTCTACAATAACTCTACTATCTAAGGAAAGACTCAACTCTGCTAAAAAAAAGGTCCTTTAACAATGTCACCGGGTACTAGAATTTTGCTCTTTATGTTTTCCTTCCAAATCATTTCTCATATTTACTTCTGAGATACAAGCTTCTATCTCATTATGTAGCATTGCACAATGCCCTCAGCCTACAAAAGCAGGTTGTATATAAAAGCCTAGGGCCATTGTGTAAAGGAAAAGAGGTAGGGTGGACCCTTCTCAACCTTTTCCTTCTCTGCAGGGCTTTGCATTCCTAAGGATGGGCCCCTCCTCTGCTTGGGGATGTTACCTAAATCAGAAATGATCTTACTCAAAGCAAACTTCAAAAGCATTTCCTTCCCAGTCCCTACTATAAGATTTCTTTTGGAATAAACTGCTCCTTGTAATATATTAAGTATCAGACTTTCGATGACTTGTCATACTTAAGTTACAAAACTACAGAAAATTTTGAGTTTTTTAAAATGGCTTTGTTATGCTAAGACTGCATGTGTGCATACAGGCCTCAGTAACTCCCTATCCTTTCCTCTCTTTTCCCCAATCATGCCTGTCATTGACTTATCTGACATCTTCTACTAGTTGAAATCATCTCCTGACTGTAAATGCTTTGCTTTTCTAGTAAAGATTATATCATCTCTTTCTCCCTTGTAGCACTTCTGAGGGGGATGACATAAATAGGCATCAACAGTAGGGAAAAGCTGGAAACAAGGACAAAAATACTTAAGAATCAGAGATTCTTAAGAGTATGGTATAAAATTGTTGCTTTCAGAGCAGTTGTTTCATTTTATTCACATTCAGTCTGGAACCTTTATTTTTTCTCAATCCAAAATTGAGGTCATAATCCAAAGGAAAAATGAATTGAAATTTGTAACCGATTAGTACAGTGCTAAATAGTGTTTATCATGCCTTATCTCATTCAATTCTCACAACTCCATGTTCTAGAGACTATTAGAAAAATGGAGTGACTACTGACATGGAATGGAGCTGGGGAAACTTTAACATTTTACTTCATATACTCTTGAATTTTTTACAACAATCATGTAATTTAGGAAAAAAATTCCATTTCTTTTTAAAAAAATTTTTTTAAATTTTGAGTAGGGGTCTCATTCTGTTGCCCAGGCTGAAGTGCAGTGGTATGATCACAGCCCTCCACAGACCTTCTGGGCTCAGGCATTCTGCCCGCCTCAGGCTCCCAAGCAGTTAGGACTACTACAGGCACGTACCATGACGCCCAGCTAATTTTAAAATTTTTTTGTAGAGATGAGATCTTACTATGTTGCCTAGACTGGTCTCAAAGTCCTGAGCTCAAGCAATCCTATCATCTCAGCCTCCCAAAGTGCTGGAATTATAGGTGTGAACCACCATACCCGGCCAAAAAAAATTCCATTTCTTATTGAGGTAAGTACAAATTTGTCATCTTGGCCTTCAAGATGCTTAACAAACATGGACCTGGATTTCTTTTCAATTTTAATCCCCTTCTTCCTTATGTGTATTGTCGCCTTATACTCTTAGCAAACTATCCCACAGAACTCTCTTAATCAACTTAACTGACAACGCACTGGCTATTCTCCAATATGAAATGAGCAACACTATTGGTCTTTCCTCAGTGAAGCTGTGCTTATCAAGGGTGCCAGTTTTGTTTATTCACAAATCAATTTATGCCACCTGTGGTTATTATTGTAAATACATAATTTTATTATTATGCAAAGTAATGAAGTATGAGAGGAGAAAAATGATAGCAGCAGTTAACATTGAGTATCTACCTGCCAGGCATTGTTCTAAGTGTTTACATGAAGAATTGTATATTCTTCACAAGAACCCTAGGAAATAGATATTATCATTATCCCTATTTTATAAAGGCAGAAACCGAGCAATTTGCCCATCGCCTATTAGCTAATAAGTGGAAAGCAATTTGGCTCCAGAGTTTAACAATTTAACTACTATTCTACATAGTCTCTCTAGTAGTTGTTTCTATAAAAAAAAAAACCATAGTGAATACTTTGGAAAGACTAGATAAAGGTGAGTCACACAAATAACACACAAACTTGCTGTGGGTGTGGGAGAGACAACTATAAAGGCTGAGGAGAAAATTCATGAACATCTAAAAAGATTCTGCACTTAGCCTGCTTTGCAAGTGACTTGAATTCATTCCATGTTAAAAATATTACAGATGATGTAGACCAGGTGTTGGCCACCTCTTTCCGTAAAGGGGCCAAATAGTAAACATTTTAGGTGCTGTAGGCTCTGCAATTTCTGGTGCAACCCCTCAACTTGACCTTGTAGGGTAAGAGTAGCTATAGATAATATATATACAAATGAGCAAGCTATGGTCCAATAAAACTTTATTTACAAAAACAGGCAGCAGGGTGGGGTAAAATTTGGCCTGCAGCCCAGAGTTTGTTGATCCCACATTCCAAGAAAAGTCTGGGACCTTATGTTAAAAAGAATGACAAAAGAATGTCTATATTTCAGTTAAAATGAGATGTTTAAGACATGCATGTATAACTAATATCTGTAGGATTCCCTGCTTTAAGTTACTTTGTCAGTTGATCAACTAATAGCTCTACTGCGTTTAGTGACTAAGTGAACCTAACACAATATTTATTCCCTGGAACCTATATTTGATACATATCCCTATCACCACATCTATGATATAACTTGGTTATAACTTTAAACTATTATTGTAAAACATATTCACCAGTACAGGTTAGTACGGGTGTACTTGTATGCAAAGATTGTCATATCTGTTGCAAAGTTGCTGACTGTGTGAAAGGAGTTGTTAAAGTTGCTGCTTCCCTGAGAGGGGAGAGAAGTAAAAATGCTGCTTCCCTCTCAGTCTTTAGGGGGTCAACACATTTTAGAAATACATCTAAAAGCTGTGTAATGCTTAATTCAAACTTGAGATCAAGGTTGTACCTTACTTACCTTTGTAATCCCAGCAGTTCTCAGTAGATGTCTAGGTCCAGTCTACTCCTTTTACAAAGTGTTTAGGGAGCCTGGCCCAAGCTCAGATTGAGTTAGAAAAAGGGCTGTGATAGGAATTCAAGTTTCCTAATTTCTAGTCCAATATTACCAACTGAAGATACGCTAACTCAGGAAGACAGTGGCTTTTTAGGTGCACTCAATCCTGCAGACCAAAGTGTGAGGAAGACTCACCATTATCTTTCCCTTCCTCATACTGCCTATGAGTATCTGCAGCTGTGTGGCCACAACAATGATCTGGGCATGCATGTTCATGGTGCTAAAAACATGCCAAAAAAGGCTATTTAGTATTCCTGAATATCTAAAAACGCTACTTAAATATACAGGATAAAAACACCCTCAACCAAGAATGCAAGAGCTCAAATGTTCCATTGGCGTTTGTTTGTTTTTTAAGGCACCACTCAGATGTTTCAGTGCTGTAATGACAGTGACCAGTACTGGAGAGATGGGCTAAAAAAGAGCTATGGTACTTATTCAGTTCATTTCTTTAACCTCCTGAGAGGTAGCCAAGTTCATAGTCTTTTTTTTTTGAGTTGGAGTCTCACTCTGTCGCCCAGACTGGAATGCAGTGGCCGCTCCTGGCCACCGTAGCCTCGACCTGCTGGGCTCCGGCGATCCTTCCGCCTCAGCCTTCCGAGTAGCCGGAATTACAGGCATGCGCTACCACGCCCGGCTGATTTTTTGATTTATTGTAGAGATGAGGTCTCGCTGCCCAGGCGGGTCTTGAACCCGCGGGCTCAGGCAATTCATTCACCTCAGCCTCCCAAAGGCACTGGATTACAGGCTGAGTCACCGAGCCTGGCTTTTTTTTTTTTTTTTTTTTTGAGTCAGAGTCTCACTCTGTGCCCAGAATGGAGTGCAGTAGGCCACTTATGGCCAGCGCAGCCTTGACCTGCTGAGCTTAGGTGATCCTTCCGCCTCAGCCTTCCAAGTAGCTGGAACTACAGGTACATGCCACATGCCTGGCTAATTTTTTTATTTATTGTAGAGATGAAGGCTTGCCAAGTTGCCCAGGCTGGTCTAGAACCCTTGAATTCAGGCAATTCTCTCACCTCAGCCTCCCAAAGAGCTGGGATCCTAGGCGTAAGCCACCACACCCAGGCTTCATACTCTTTTCTAGTTTGTTTTTTTTTTTTCCTTTCTTATCGGTTTTCTCAGGTCGAAGGAGTTCACACTCAACACAGCAACTGCAACAGGTTCTAGTTCTAGGGCTTAGATTCCAGTTGTAACATTGCAACTGTCAGGCTTCACTGCTTTAATATCTTAATCTATAAAATAAACACAAGAAGCAAGCCAACAGCTCTATCTTCAGTTAAACAAAGGAATAATTTACTTACATAAATTATAGCTATACTATTCCTCTCTTCCTCCTCTCCTAGAGCTTGAGACAAATAGCATAATCACCTTCAATTAACAAAAGAGACTAAGCAACCCAGCTAGTTCACAGCCAGTCAGCATTTTTATCTTTCTGAAAGATACCTGTAAATGGCAGGAACCATTGCTGGGCCCTCTGGGTCACATGAGAAAAAATAAACCCTAAGAGTGTAAATTAAGGAATAAGGGAACAAGGATGAATTCTATTATTCAATCTAACAAAGAATTAATGAGAAGCCACTATGGGCAAGAAGGCTTACAATTTAATTTAGTAGTATGCCCACTATAATAAAAATAAAAAAAGAACAAGGGACGTGCCAAGAGGTGCAAAGTTCTCTGGGAGGGAGCTACCAATTACTTCATTTCAATTTCATGCTAATAGATTAAAACATTCAGGTAAGCAATACCTGTAGTACCAACCTGATTGTCAGGGGAAGCCCTGAGTGAAAGAACTCCAGTGACATGTGTGGAAATGGACATCACACTGGGACACTGTCTGCTTAGCCACACCTTGGCTAAGACAAACATACCTCAAGATTGTTCTAAGAATTATACCAGGTTAACCAAAGAAATATTAATGTAAGATACAGAGGAGTAGGCAACAACTGATGTTGATTTAGGGCTGTCACAGGAAGACTCAGCAAAACCCAAGCCAAGGTTAAGCTGGGGATTTTCTATCTCCAAAATTTCCTCCATTACTTCACCCACCCCTAGAATATCTCAGCTCTCCAGCACCTCACCTGCGTGAGATACAGGTGGACTCTAGAAAGGGGGCTTTTCTTGAGATGTATGCCACAGTCTAGCGGTAATCACCCTGGAGGGGTACACAGGGTTTGTGTTCACCCACCAGCTCACAAAGTCCTGAATCAAAGGACCAGGAATCCGGTCCCTGTCTGCCCTTTACTCAGTGTGACCTCAGACTAGTCACCCAAGTGCTTAGTTCCTTCGTTTCCTTCTCCGTAAATTCTGAGATTAGGAGGAGACCGGGATTAATTCGATAACCTCTGAGGTCTAAAAGTTTCTGGACCAGCTGGCAAACGGAAGCACTGGACGGATGGTCCGCTGCAGAGATAGGGAAACTGAGGCACCGAGCACCCTGCCCCAAGGTCATTCTCCAGCTATGTCACTGCCGGGGCCAGGCCGAACCTCAGGTCTTCAACCTTCCAGTCCTGGGCTCTTTCTCCTTCCACGAAGCTGAGAAGAGCGCGCGGAGGGTCCTTGTCCCGGAGGGAAAAGGATGGTGCCTATGCCAGGGTTGCGAAGGAGGGCGGGAGAGGCCTTACCTTCTCAAGTCGAGTCCAGCCACTGGCGCCTCCCTCTCAGAATCTTAACCCGTCAGCCCCTCAAGACTCTTCAGAAGCCCCTTCCACCTTCTGTCCGGCTCGACGTGTCCACGACCGCCACCGAGGCCGAGGATTCCCGCCCCTGCCCCGCCCCCCTGCCCCGCTGACCAATACCTGCCCAGGACTTTGGAACCCCGCCCCCTCTGCGGGCTGGAGAGGCTTGACGTCACGCGGCGCGCGTGCCCGCGCGAACCTCTTATTTGCCTTTGCCCCACCTTCTCAAGAGCCAAGTCTACTTTCGGCCGAGCAACCGTGCGGGAATTTGCCCTGCCGGAAAGCATCACGCCGCTGCGGCACTTTACGACGTCGGCAGTGACAGGCCCTGGAGCCTTGGGAATATCCGGCTTCTTTCCCGCTGCCGGGTGAAAGCCAACGCAATGTTCGGTGCGGGGGACGAGGAGGACACGGATTTCCTCTCGCCCAGCGGCGGGTGAGTGATTGAGAAGCATGAGCTAAAGGACGTGGCTGAGAGAGACCGGCGAACTGTTGGAGGGGGGTCGATCTCTTTTCAGGTCTTTTCCCAACTTCCGGGTCCAGACCCTTGCCACATCCTGTTGTTCTACGCCCCTCGGCATCTGGGTGGAGCTCGCAACTGTGCTGAGTCTGGCCATCTGGGTTCTGAACCTGGCATGTCCCTTGACACTCAGTGTGGGGTTCGCCTTTTGCTTTCGGGGTTACAGTTTCTCCAGTGAAATGGGGGTGTTTGTTGATGAGAATGCCTGCCGCAGAGTTTTTATAGCAATTAGCTGGGGGGTGATATGAGACTTACTTTTCTCCGTGGATAAGGCAGTGACATTTAGAACCAGGCCATGATGGGTTAGCTCCAGCGTCCTTCAAGACTCAGCTCGGATGTCACCTTTTTTTTGGTGCTTTCCCTTTTCTCACAGTCCCAGGCAAAATAAATTGCTTTGTCTTCCTTATTCCCACAGCTAGGCGTGTTTGCTTCTGTTCTTACATACCGAACCTACTAGATTATAATCTTCAAAAAGAGACCTGCCCACTTTTTATAATCCCTGAGAGGACAGGGACTCCTTATGTTGTTCATCTCTGTCTGGCTCTCAGCATGATACCTGGCACATAGTGCTCAGGAAGTGCCTGTTGAATGAATAAAGTGTGAAATTGCACTTTGTAAACTTTGAAACTTAAAACCAGTGTAAGAGACTTTGGTCATTATCCCTTGCACCCAAGCATTATATATACCAGCCTGGGATAGAGATCTTCAAAAAGAGGCCTGCCCACTGCAAAACGTTAAGGTTTCCAATTTCATGCAACATTCAGTCCAAGATGACTGAACATTACAGGATAGGTAATGACACTCGTGCTCTTCTCCAGATTCTTGACCCAAGATAAGTTCTTGGTAGCTCAACTATTCTCTCCTGAGCAGGTTTATCAATGATCTGAGACACTTCAATTCCAGGCATGTGACTGTGCTCCTGGACAGAGACAACAGCTAATTTAATAATAACAGACTTAGCAAAGAAAGTTTTAATTTATTTGTGTTCTCATTATTAACCAGGAGAACCAAATCAGATTTAACACTGAGAATATAGAAAGTTTCACCATTATTATCTGATTTAGCTATTCCTTTTTTGGTTTTCTCTAAGGAAGTAGAACACATGACAGTGAACATTGCAGCTGCTTTTCTCTTCCTCTTTATATACTTGCTTAAGTTTCAAGTCTCTTGATTTAAACACGACTTACTTGATTCCTTTAAGGGTATTCAAGCCTAGTAGAAGTGGAAGTATCTCTATTACTGATAATCTGCCTTCCTCGTTTCCAGACTTCTGAAAGTTAGTGGTTAACATAGAAGTGGTAATCACAAGACTTGCTTTTGTTTGTTTGTTTTAGCCCTTTCCCCACCATTGTGACTTTGAAATGAAGAAACATGTGAATGCCTGCTAAGTGCATGGTACTTGGCTTTAGCTAATACAAATAGGAACAGTGCACAGTTCCTACCTCTAAGAAACATCCCTTTTAGTAGAAGAATGAAATAAATCCAAGTAATAATAATCACAAAGCATTTTTAAAAGGCCAGTTATTATGTATACATGTTTTAGATTATAAAGGTATAGGCAAATCTGGCTAATATAATAGTGACACATTGCCAGTGTAGAGGCAGAAAAAAGGTAAATTCAGAACCCATCATCTGAATGCATTTTAAGTCCTGGAAAGCCTGGATTCTAATATTGATTCTGCCTCTAGTTAGTAGTGTGACTTTTGGTCAAGTCACCTCCCATTCTTGTTCCTCCATATCCTAACCTATTAAATAAGAGTGTTTTACCTTGATGATGTTTGAGAGCTTTCCCAGTTCCATAGTTTTGTAATTGTGCTAGTATCATTTTATGGTTGCAGGTCAGTTTGTGCATCAGTCATACTCCCTTCCTACTTTACAAGGGTGTCTGAATTGAATCAACATTTTGAGGTAATGAGATGTACTCATAAGCATATAACATAAAACATATTGTGTGCTTACTCAGTGCCAGGCACTGTACTAAGGAATGTGTGTGTGTGTGTGTGTGTGTGTGTGTGTGTGTGTGTGTGTGTGTGTGTATGTATACACACATTATTTTATTTGTTTCTTCTACTTTATGAAGTATTTTGAACTATTACTCATACCCATTTTACAAATAGGAAATGTATATATAATGCATACATTGTTGTATTTACTCTTCTATAGAAATGGTATTTTAAACAATTATATCTGGATTTTTTTAACAAGTTTTACAGATACATAAATACATATTAGCATTTTACAAAATAAATGTAATATGATATAAAACTATTCCCTTGTTTTCTCAAAGCAGTCTACTGAAAGTTTAGGTTTCCTGTAACTGGGCCCAAAATGCCTACTTTAAAAGACTTAAGTTTTTTTGTTTTGTTTGTTTTTGAGTCAGAGTCTTACTGTTTCCCAGGCAGGAGTGCAGTGGCATGAGCATGGCTACTGCAGCCTCAACTTGCTGGGCTTAGGTGATCCTTCTGCCTCAGCCTCCCACCCCCAATAACTGGAATTATAGGCATGCACCACCACCCCTGGCTAATTTTTGTTTGTTTATTGTGGAGATGAAGTCTTACCATGTTGCCCTGGCTGGTCTTGAACTCCTGGGCTGAGGCATTCTCTCCCCTTGGCCTTCCGAATTTGCTAAGATTACAGATGTGTGCCACTGCACCCATCCAAAAGACTTACATTTATTTTTATTTATTTATTAACTTATTTATTTATTTCGAGTTGTAGTTTCACTCTTGCCGCTCAGGCTGGAGTGCAGTGGCACTCTTATGGCCATCGCAGCCTAATGTGCTGGGCTTAGGGGATCCTGCCACCTCAGCCTTCCAAGTAGCTGGAACTGCAGATGTATGCCACCACGCCCGGCTAGTTTTTGTGGTTTACTGTAGAGATGAGGTCTCACCAAGTTGCCTGGGCTGGTCTTGAGCCCCCCGAGCTCAGGCAATCCTCTCGCCTTTATCTCCCAAAGTGCTGGGATTGCAGGCCAAGACTTAAGTTTAAATGAGATTGCAAATATAGTATTTGAGGGACAGCAGTGCTGCCCTAAGTAAGACATCAGCAAATGCTAACGGAATATCGAAGAAGAAAGATTTCTCCTTTGAAAATCTTTTTCTTGGGCAGATTCCCTGAAGGAATAAGATTCTAGGAGAGTTGGGGAGTACATTTAACACAGTGGAAAATGTACAAAACTTAGCATCTAGTTAAGATAACAGCTTATGCACAGATAATTGATAAGAAAAGAATGTCCTTGTCACCTTCAGTGAACCATGGGTATTGGGTTTGTTGTCTTAATTTTGCAGGCATATCCTTTTTCAAAGGAAATACAAAAGTATCATAAGTAAACTGTGTTTCCATAGATGTCCTAAATGCCAGCCAATTGAAGATTGTAAAATCAATCCAAAAGCCAAGTCAACCTAATAATCTTTCAAATTAATTCTTCTTCCCATTAATATTTTAAATGGACTGTGTACCAACCTAGTGAGATACATTTCTTATAAATTATTACATTTTCCCACTTCTAAGGTGCTCTCAAATGTACATAATGTCCCTAACTATGTTAGCAAGAATCAACTTGCTAACTCTGAACTTGAGTTATTTGTTTTGAGATCAGTTCACTCTATTGCCCAGGCTATAGTGTGCTGGCACGATTCTGGCTCCCTGCAGCCTTGACCTCCTAGGCTCAAGCGATCCTCCCACCTCAACCCCCTGAGTATCTGGGACTACAGGCAAATCCCACCATGCCTGGCTAATTTTTGTAATTTTTTTTTGTAAAGATGAGGCTACTGCAGCCTCAACTTGCTGGACTTAGGTGATCCTTCTGCCGCAACCCCCCACCTCCCCAGTAGCTGGAACTATAGACGTGCATCACCATACCCAGCTAATTTTTTTATTTATTGTGGAGACGAGGTCTCACTGTGTTGCCCTGGCTGGTCTTGAACTCGTGGACTCAGGTGATCCTCTCGCCTTGACCTTCCAAATCTGCTGAGATTACAGGTGTGAGCCACCACACCCAGCACCTAACTTCACTATGTAGTCTAGACTGGTCTTGAACTCCTGGGCTCAGATGGTTCTCCTGCCTCAGCCTCCCAAAGTGCTGGGATTACAGGTATAAACCACTGCACCTGGCTTGAACCTGGGAATGGTCTTGGAGCACAAGAAGAAGAGGAGGTTCTGCTGGGGCTGTAGAGATTAGAGGATATGAGTTCTGGTTTGGATATATTGCATTTGTATTGCCTGTGAGATATCTGTGTGTCTGGCTCTCAGGAGCAAGTTCTGGGCTAGGAATACAGACCTGAGCATCATTGACATTTGGATAGCATCTAATACCAAGGTAAATAAAGGAGATTGCCAAGGGAGAAAGAGTATGAGCCCTTGGAGATGTGGGCATTTAAAGATTGGGCAAAGGAAGATGAGCCCAAGGAGTAAATGAGAAACCAGAGAGATGGAGAAAACAAGCAAGGGTATGATACCATTAGCATTTACTGATGTCTTATTTGACCCTGTCCTTCCTTCTATCCCTGCAAGTATCCCTATAGAAGTCAAGGGAAGAGTTTATTTGAAGAAGAACAAATTAATTGACAATGTAAAAAGATGGCATGCGGTCAAATAAGATAAGAACTGATAAACTGGGTTTAGTAACAAAGAGGTTGTTGGTGATCTTAGCAAAAGCACTTTCAGTGGAATGGTAGGGGCATACGATTCCTTGCAAGGGATGACGAAAGAATGGTTCTGTCTGTCAAATGAAATTATAGCTGGAACCATGTTTGATTGGTAAGCTTATAGTACAATTTTTCTTCAATGTAATAAATTAGTAAAAAGCAGGATGGAGAATAATCAATAGGGATTACTAGAAACTTTGATTTGTTAAAAACAAGAATTTATAGTTTGAAGAAACCCTAGCATCTAGACTAATAATTTCCTTTTACAGATGGAGAAACTGAGGTCCAGAAAGAAGAAATGCCTTGACCAAAGTCCTGTGATGAGCAGGGTCAGCTGATGATGTTCAGATCAGATATACAATTTTGATTTCAAAGACTTAGGGGCTACTTTTAGTATTAAATGATAGGATGTACAGTCAAGGAGGTATTTGTTTAAGGTTGGAGGTGAGTGGCTTTTGTAATGGTTCCGGGTTTGCGTTATGTCAATGATAATTCATTTTCATTTTCTTCTACTAGTGCCAGATTGGCCTCTCTTTTTGGACAGGATCAGGCAGCTTCTGGCCATGGAAATGAATTCTTCCAGTACACAGCCCCAAAGCAACCTAAGAAAGGCCAAGGTACAGCAGGATCAGGTAAGTTAAGAGGCATTAGGATTGTGCCTTAACAAGTTATTTGGAAGGGTTAGCAGAAGTGATAAGCCAAAAGTGACAAGCCAGGTCATCCATCTGACTAACTCACAGCCAGTGATGATGCCTCTCTAAGCTCTGGGATACTGAATTCCAGTAGCTAGATAGTGTGCCCTTTGTTGGGAACTGATGGAGAGGCTCACAGACAAGCTCTTCTGCCCCATGTGGACACTGCTCTCCAAATCTCTGCCCATGGCACTCTCACTAGGCACTGTTCAAAGTTTGGTGAGAAGGAAGAACTGCTTTTCCCTTCTTTCATCTGGATGAGTTAGCTGTAGACTGACTGAAGTTTTCCCAACTAAATAGCAACACCTATTACTGTATCCCCTGTACCTTTCATCATGATGGACATGATAGACACTTATTGAGTGAATATTTATTGAGTGAAATGAGAGAAAAGGTGGCAAATATGTCTAAAATTCTTGCTGTGTGTCTGGTCTCAAGTGCTTTACATAGGTTATTTTATTTCATCTTCACTACAATTCTGTGATAAGTGAGATTACCACCATTTTATAGGCTCAAGTTTAAGGACTTGATCAAGGTCATGTAGTAATGACTGAAGTGAAATTTGAACCCTGATCTAACTGACTCCAAAACTTTTATTTCTTTCTCTGCACTTTACTGTCTTTGTGTAAAAACCCAAAGAAGAGAAAGGAATAGATAGTAATAGTCCTGAGCAGAACAGATGTGAGGGACAGTAAATTAAGTATTTGTTGAATGAAGATAATAATGTTGAGTGCTTCTTACACCTAGGCACAATGCTGGCACTGAGGATTACTTGCTGGGATATTTAGAGTTAAGTCGTTACAACAGATACCTTATCCCCCCCACCCCACCCCCACTTTCCTGGAGGTTACTGAGTAGGGCTGAAAGTTCCAACCTTCTTGTCTTGTAATCACTTGGTCTTTCTAGTGATTGGCTCCACTCTGAGGCTATCTAGTGTCCCCACTCTGTTGCCTCATTGTCAAAAGATAAAATTACAACAAACTCAGTTTTACTTGTGATTCTAGAATTGGGCAACACCTCATTCTGTAAAATAGAATGTTTCGATGAACTGAGTAGAGCTTGGTTTCATAGGCAGGAAAGGACTAAAGATAGCAGGGATAAGGAACACAAAATAAGGTGGTCATTTCAAAGTTATTTTTGTTGTAAAGGTTAAAGCATGTAAAATAGAATGTTCCAAAGAACTGAGCAGAGGAATTTGGCTTTATAGGCAGAAAAGGACTGAAGAAAATTGAAACAAAAAAACCTACTGGGTCTTTCAAAGTTACTTTCCTTAGGCCAGATGCAGTGACTCATGCATGTAATCCCAGCATTTTCAGAGGCAGAGGCTAGAGGGTTGCCTGAGCCCAGGGGTTCAAGACCAACCTGGGCAACTTGATGAGCCCTCGTCTCTACAGTAAATCAAAAAATTAGCTGTGTGTAGTGGCATGTGCCTATAGTCCCAGTTGCTTGAAAGGCTTAGGCGGAAGGATCGCCTGAGTTTAGCAGATCTAGGCTGTGGTAGCTATGAGCATGCCAGCTCAATCCAGCCTGGGCAACAGAGTGAGATTCTGACAAAAAAAAAACAAAAAAAAACCCACAAAATTACGTTTCTTGGATAGGTAAAGTAATGGGAAATTCCTTATCATGCTGGCTAAAACTGGATTATTTAGGGATTTGGCTATAAACTCTTGATTTCTCGGAGATGAGATAACCAACTTAGTTTAGGCTTGGTGATGTGGAACTTTACCATGAGTAACTACATTTTGATTTGGTCTGCTGGATCTAATGTAGGAATGCAGTCCAAACCAATGACCTCCTATAAGTTTTATTTAACAGCATAAACTCAGGTATAATTAAAAGGGCTTGAAACAAAAGACACTCCTATCACTCAGGAAATTCTGAGAGTTTTAGGAACTTTGTACAAGAACCAAATACATAGCAGAAGATGTTCCTAGCAATATTATTACTCAAGAAATTACAAGGAATTTAGGAACTCTGTGCCAGGAACCAAAGACAAGAACCATCATATTTCATATTATACCACAGCCTATCGGCCCATTGCAGAAAATGTTTGCCAACTCTTGCTTTAAATATTACTTGTCACTTTTGACAACTTTGCTATAGGTTGCTTCTCTTGATCTCCAAGCCATAACCGGGCCAGATTTCTAGTAGGCTATAATTTTACATTTCCCCTGGCACATCTCTTCATGTATGCATCTGAGTTATAAAGTGGTTGAGTTAATGACTGTGGAGAAAAATAAACAACCTTAGTCCCCATCCAATGAAATATTTGATTTTAAAATTTTTTTCTATTTTATTTTTTAGAGATGGAGTCTGGGATTGAGTATAATGGCTCTTCATAGATGCGATAATAACACATGATAGCCTCAAACTTCTGGGCTCAAGTGATCCTTCTGCCTTAGCTTTATAAGTAGCTGGGACTGCAAGGCATGGGCCATTATTTTTGGCTAACTTGATTTTTTAAATCAGAAAACAGCAACTAGGAGCTAGGTTACTTTTAAGGGGAACCTGTGCAGGCATTTCAACTTAAAAGTTACCTATACAGTCTTCTTTAGGAATTTACAAATAAATAAATGAACAATACAGGAGAACTCTGCTCTTGGGAGATCTATATAAGAAGTCCTTATGGAGAAGATGGCTGCAGCATAGTTCTTGCATCAAAGGAACATTTGGGCGGGATGTAACAAAACCTTAAATTTTTGTGTATTCCTTCACCCTAGAATTCCACTTTAAGAAATTTATTCTAAGAAAATAATCAAAGGTACATAAAAAATGTGTCATTTTATTTTCTTTATGTGTTTCTATGTTTTCTAAGTTTTCTACAATGCACTTGCACTCTGTAATAAGAAAAAAGTGTCAATACGGGAAAAATTAACGAGTCCTTTTGAAAATAATCTCTTTGTTGTCATGTTCATGTCAATATTATCTCATTACTCTCCCATCAACATAATCATGTAGTGAGTATAAATATGGATTTACTCTTAATGTACTATTTTGAGATGCTAGTGTAACTCTGAAGATCAGTGATGGGTATGAGTGGAGTATCTTCCAAAATTTCCTACCCTAGAAGTAAGGAAGGGGGAATAACCTTATTTTTATATTTTAGTGCTGTCAAAATATTGGAAGGAGAAGAGAAAGGTAGAATATGACCTTGTATTCTAGACTGTGCTTCTTGTCCAGCCCAAAGTCTTTTGTTTAGGATGGGGGGTTTGGAAGTTGGAGTCATGGGAGTTCCATCCCTAGGCTTGTATAGTTTTGTAAGGCACTGGGTGCTTAGAGCCTCAGTTTCTTCACCTCAGACTAAGTCATGGGGCTTTTTCTTTTTGTGACTCAGATAAGGATAATGATCATGAAGGTGTTGTAATACTAGCTACAAGATATAAAGAACAATTTTGAAGTTAGTTTAATGGTTAAAAATCAGTTTCAGGCAATAGATGAATGACAACTTTGTTTTCTTCCTCATCTTCAGGAAATCAGGCAACACCCAAAATGGCACCAACCACCATGGGAACGTCCACAGTGCTGTTTGCAACAGCAGTCCATGCATATCGATAGTAAGTAGCTAAGAAGGAGCACTTTCTGAAGTTTGGTGGCGGGGAGTGCAATTAAGTTCCTATCTTTTCTCCAAAAAAATCTCTATTCATTGTAAAATGGTTATTCAACCCTTCCACAGACAAAGTATCAGTGATACTTATACCATGTTATAATATTATGTGCAGAAAGAGATTTCTGTACATAAAACTTGAAGAGTCATTACCTTGTCTGTTTTCTTTAGGAAGTACTTGTACCCTCAACAACTGTCAGAGTGCTCAAAGGAAGCCACTCCACTGAGATAGCCTGAATAATAGATATTTAAAGAGTAAAGAAGTTGTGTAAGAGCTTTAAATTATAAACTGCTCACCTGTATCTCTATCTAGAGGCTTAATAACTAGATTCCCTACTTCTACATAGCAGAAATGAAAGCTGATTCTGAATAGTTTAGAGGAGGATTAATATCTGTTGTTTTTCTTGTTTCTGTAGCACAAATGGTCAATATGTAAAGCAGGGCAAATTTGGTGCTGCAGTCCTGGGGAACCACACAGCCAGAGAGGTGAGAATGCTCCCATGTCTCATGTATATTCAAGTGTCCCAAATAATACCAATGAGCTGACTTTTATCTGGGATTGCCCAATGTCTTGTTTGTCAGAGGATTAGAATCATTAATTGTATTGAATGTGCATTTGTAATATTGGATATATACAGAGGGTATCCCAAAAATGTATATATATTTTAAGAGAGGAAAAAACTGTATTAAAATGGTAATACTCAATATATACTGATAACAAAAGATGAATACAAGTCATGTTTGACTTCTGCAATTATAAGAGGTGCTCAAAGTGATTGCCATCAGCATCCAGACAGTTTTGATTATGGCAAACTACTGCAGGACTTGCTGTGAGAAGCCTCCCGGATCTTCCCTTGTGCACATCACCCACAGTACCATGCATCTTCTTATCACAAATGCGTGCAGTTTTTAGGCATATTGGAGGCCTCCATTGTCGTACTTCCATAGCATCCTCAAATTTCAGATAGCACTTCAGATTGGTCTTGTGTTCCTTGACCTGTGTTTCTGCCATTTTTTTTGACCACCCTGCCTGTTGCCTGGTGACACTAATATTCATTTGATTAATGCCATTTTTTTGAGCACATGGCATCTACACATTATTACCATATTTTTTGGCACCCCAGTAGTAAATGATCACATTTTGCTTACTATTGTACATTAAAACAAATCAACCATTCATAATCTTTAAATATGACCTTGTGATATGATCCTAGCTTAAATATTTCGAGGACCTCCCCCCTTTCTGGGCATGAATTTTAATCATTTGCTTTTATTTGTTTAATTGTGGTATGTGTGTGTATATATATGTATGTATGTATTGTTTAATCGTGATTATGTATATGTGTATATGTATGTGTGTGTGTGTGTTTATATAGATATAAAATAAAATTTGCCATTTAACCTTTTTTTTTTTTTTTTGAGTTGGAGTCTCACTCTGTTGCCCAGGCTGGAGTGTAGTGACATGCTCAAAGCCATGCCAGCATCGACCTGCTGGGCTCTGACAATCCTTCCACCTCAGCCTTCCAAGTAGCCAGAACTACAGGCGTGTGCTACCACACCCGACTAATTTTTGATTTATTGTAGAGACGAGGTCTCACCAAGTTGCCCGGCTGGTCTTGAACCTGCAGGCTCAGGCACTCCATTCACCTTGGCCTCCCAAAGTGCTGGGGTTACAGGCTGAACCTCTGAGCCCGGTCATTTAACCATTTTTAAGTCCATAATTCAATGGCATTCACAATATTGAGCAACCATCACCACTATTTTCACTTTTTCAGCATCTCAAACAAAAACTAAGCAATAACCCTTCATCTCCGCTTTCCCCTGTAACCTTTAGTCTACCTTCTGTTTCTATGAATTTGCCTATTCTAGTTTCCTCATGCAAATAAAATCATACAGTATTTATCTTTTTGTGACTGGCTTATTTTACTTAGCATAATGTCCTTAAGGTTCATCCATGTCTTTGCATGTATCAGTACTTCATTCTTTTTCATGACTGAATATTATTTCTTTTTTTTTTTTTTTTTTTTTTTTTTTGAGTTAGAGTCTCACTCTGTCGCCCAGACTGGAGTGCAGTGGCTGCTCCCGGCCACCGCAACCTCGCCTGCTGGGCTCCGGCGATCCTTCCGCCTCAGCCTTCCAAGTAGCTGGAATCACAGGCATGTGCTACCACGCCTGGCTAGTTTTTTGATTTATTGTAGAGATGAGGTCTCGCCAAGTTGCCCAGGTGAGTCTCGAACCCGCAGGCTCAGGCAATCCACTCACCTCAGGCTCCCAAGGCGCGGTATTACAGGCTGAGCCACCGAGCCCGGCTCTGAATATTATTTCATTGTACGTATATACCATATTTTGTTTATCCATTCATCAGTTAATGGGCACTTGGATTGTATTTACCTTTGACTATTGTGAATAATGGTGCAATGAGCATTGACATGCAAGTATATATTTGAGCCTCTATTTTTGGTTCTTTTGGGTATATACTAGGAGTGGAATTGCTAGTCATATAGTAATTCTACGTCTAGCTTTTTGAGGAACTGCCAAAGGTTTTCCACAGCAGTTGTGCTGTTTTATATTCCCATAAGCAGCATGAAAATTCCAATTTCTCCACATCCTCGCCAGCATTTTGTTGTTTTCTGTTTTATTTAAATTTCTTGCTGTTCTAATAGGTGTGAAGTGGTACTTTATTGTGGTTTTAATGCGTAGTCCCCTAATGTCTAGTGATGTTGAGCATCTCTTCATGTGCTTATTGACTCATTGTATATATTTTTTGAGAAATGACTATTCAAGCCCTTTGCCCTTTTTAATTTTAATTTTATTTTAGAGACAAGTTCTCACTATGTTGCTCAGGCTGGTCTTGAACTCCTGTACTCAAGTAATCCTCTTGCCTCGGCCTCCCAAAGTGCTGAGATTACAGGCATGAGCCACTGTGCCTAGCCCCTCTCTCCCTTTTTATTTATTTATTTTTGAGTTAGAGTCTCACTGAGTCACCCAGGCTGGAGTGCAGTGGCATGCTAATCGCCACCCCAGCATCAACCTGCTGGGCTCAGGTGATCTTTCTGCCTCAACCTTCCAAGTAGCTGGAACTACAGGCATGCACTACCATGCCCAGCTAACTTTTTGATTTATTGTAGAGATGAGGTCTCGCCTAGGTCTTTGCCTAGGCTGTTCTCGAACTCGTGGGCTCAGGCAATCCCTTTACCTTGGCCTCCCAAAGTGCTGGGGTTACAGGCTTGAGCCATCGCACCCAGCCACCTTTCCCTTTTTTAAAATTGGGTTGTTTGTCTTTTTGTTGTGGAGTTGTGGTAGTTTTAAAATATATTTTGGGTATTAAACTCTTATTTGCACGTATATCCTCCCGTTCTGTTGGTTGTCTTTTCACTTTCTTAATAATTTTCTTTACATAAAAGTTTTAAATTTTTATGAAATCTATTTGTCAATTTTTTCTTTTGTTACTTGTGCTTTTTGTGTTATAGCTAAGAACCCATTACCAAAACCAAAGTCTTGAAGATTTACCTCTTTGTTTTCTTCTGAGTTTTATTTTATTTCCCCATGTTGTCAAGTTTAGCCTATAATAAAAAATTGCTTGACATGTGAAGAAATGGAAAAGTGTAACAGATAATCAAGGCAGCAAATAAACCAGGAGCAGACTCACAAATAATCTAGATATTGAAGTCAATGTACAAAGTATTTAAAGTAACTGGGAATAATGTCTTAAAGAAAATAGAGGAACCCGCACCTTTGGGAGGCTGAGGTGAGTGGATTGCCTGAGCCCGCGGGTTTAAGACCCACCTGGGCAATTTTGCAAGACCTCATCTTTACAATAAATAAGAAACTAACCAGGTGTGGTAGTGTGCACTTGTAGTTCCAGCTACTTGGAAGGCTGAAGCGGAAGGATCGCCGGAGCCCAGCAGGTTGAGGCTGCGGTGGCCGGGAGCGCCCACTGCACTCCAATGTGGGTGACAAAGTGAGACTCCAACTCAAAAAAAAAAAAAAAAAAAAGAAAAGAAAGGAGAAGTATGAAAGAGATGAAGAGATGGAGAATTTAAAAAATTGGAATCCTTAAGAATAATCAAATGGCATTCTAGATTTGAAAAATATAATTTCTGAAATTAAGAATGCATTGGATGTATTTAACAGCATGAAAATACAGCAGGAGACAGAATTAGTAACGCAGAAGACAGTTCAATAGAACATATCCAAACTAAAGCATAGAGAGAAGGAAGAATAGAAAGAGACCAGAGCAGAGATAGATGTGGGACATGGTCTAACATCCATGTAATAGAAATCCAGAGACATTAGAATTACATCTTTAAAGTGCTGAAAGGGGGAACAACAACAACAACAAAAAAACGCTGCCTATCTGGAATTCTATACCAACAAAAATATTCTTCAAAAATGAAGGCAAAATAGTTTTCAAACAAAAGTGAGAATTTATTGCAGCAGATTCACTCTGTACAAAACATTAAAGGCAGTTAAGTTGAAGGAAATGTCTATTTCCTCCAATAATAGCCTTTAACTGGAAACAACTTGACTGTCTACAAATAGGAGAATGGATAAATATATTATGGTATAGTTATACAATAGAATACTGCATAATAATAAAAGAGAACAGAGTAACCCTGGGACGTGAAGAAACATTGCTTAATTTTACAGATATAGTAAGTGAGAGAAGCAAGACAAAAGTATACACTAGATAATCCCATTTATATAAACTTAATAGCAAAATTAGTCAGTGAATTGTCTAAATATTGGTTAAATCAGGATGGGGATTATTGACTAGGAGGAGGCATGAACAAGCTTTCTGGGGTGTTGGAAGCACTTTTAAAAAAAAATCTGGTTCGTGGTCATCAAAGTGTATATATGTGCAACATGTGTAAAAATTGATTTGTACGTGTTACTATATTTATTTTTCCTCAATTTAAAAATAATTTGTATTTTCTTCTAAGCAACCATTGTCTCTTAGTCATACCTCATACAAATGAAAACACCAACAAAATAAAGACATTGCCATTTACAGTTAAAGAGTAAGGCCAAAATGAGAAGAGATTAAATTGAATAGTGAGACAATCTAATTCAAAATCTAAGCTTTAAGGGATGAGAGGATTTTGAGTTTTATAGCTATATGAACCATAATGCCTGACATCTTATTGCTGGTTTTGTATTGCCTTTTAACTTATGTTCTCTTTTTTCCTGCCTGTTTTTGTTTGAGTACAGTATAGGATTCTTCTTTATCTCAGTCAGCAACAGCCAGTTACTGTTGCTAGGATTCATCTGAACTTTGAGCTAATGGTAAGACTTCCTCATACTGGAATCAATAACTCCTTTGGGATAGGTTTACAGAGGAGACTAGGTCTGATCATACCTAGTAGAAATTAAATTCACTGCTTTAGCCCTGGGCATCACTGTGAGAATCTCACAGAGCCTCTCAGAAAAGTATCTTGGTTCCTTCTGGACTAAGGGGTGGTTGGTGGAGTATTGTAGGGAAGAACAACAGTTCTTTGATACCTCTCTTTGGGTCTGCCTGAGTAAAGACCCTTCTCTGTGAGTTTAGGCCATTAGATTTTTCTGGTATACTGCTTGTGGATGAATTATCTTAACATTTCTTCTTTCCCCAGGTTCGGCCCAATAACTATAGCACCTTTTATGATGACCAGAGACAAAACTGGTTCATCATGTTTGAGTCGGAAAAGGCCGCCGTGGAGTTCAATAAACAGGTGATAGCATCTTACTCTTCCTGTGAAAAGTTATAATACTTGCTTGGAACCCTAACTTTAGAAAAATATATGGAAAACATATAATCTGCTATATTTATTAGTGACAGGCATTAGAAAATCCATTACATTTGTTACTTGAACCTATTTAGGAAAATAATAGCAATATTTATTGAAACTGTTTGACAGTGAGACTTTTTAAGAGAAAAAGGCTAAGTGTAAACTTACTTGAGTAAAACTTTTTTTACTACATGAATTACCTTAAGAAATAAAAGTATATTTTAAAAATAGTGTTTTCAGCCAGGCTCGGTGGCTCAGCCTGTAATCCCGTGCCTTTGGGAGGCTGAGGTGAGTGGATTGCCTGAGCCAGCAGGTTTGAGACCCGCCTGGGCAACTTGGCGAGACCTCATCTCTACAGTAAATCAAAAATCAGCCAGGCGTGGTAGCACGCGCCTGTAGTTCCAGCTACTTGGAAGGCTGAGGCAGAAGGATCGCTGGAGCCCAGCAGGTCGAGGCTGCGGTAGCCGGAAACGGCTACTGCACTCCAGTCTGGGCGACAAAGTGAGACTCCAACTCAAAATAAAATAAAATAAAAAAAAATAGTGTTTTCAGGCTGGGCTTGGTGTCCCAGCTACTCTGGATGCTAAGGCAGGTGGATCACTTGAGTCCAGGAGTTTGAATACAGCCTGGAACATACTGAGACTCTGTCTCAAAAAAAGAAAATAGCATTTTGCAAAGAATTTTTAAAGTTACAGTACTTATTTTAGAAAATTTAGAAAAGTGTTTTTAAAAGGAAAAGTTGCTCATAATCCTACTATCCAAAGTAGCCACTCTTAGTATATTTCCTTTTTTTTTTGAGTTGGAGTCTCACTCTGTCATCCAGACTAGAGTGCAGTGGCCACTCCTGGCCACCGCAGCCTTGACCTGCTGGGCTCCGGCGATCCTTCCGCCTCAGCCTTCCAAGTAGCTGGAACTATAGGCGCGCGCTACCACACCCGGCTAATTTTTTTTGGATTTATTGTAGAGATGAGGTCTCACCAAGTTGCCCAGGTGGGTCTCAAACCCGTGGGCTTGGGCAATCCACTCACCTCAGCCTCCCAAGGCACAGGATTATAGGCTGAGCCACCGAGCCCGGCTTATATTTCCTTTTTAATGTATGTTATTAAATAGATACTCCTTTAAAAGTTCTGTATCTTGCTTATTTTACTTAATGTACAATGCATCTTTTCTCACTTCATGGAAAATTATTTGGAAACATTTTTTGAAGGCTGCCTAATATGAATGTTGTCTTGGTTTGGGCTGCTGGTATAAAGTGCCATAGACTGGATGACTTATAAACAAAGAAAATGTATTTGTTATAGACCTGGAGGCTGAAAGTCTGAGATCAGAATGCCAACATAGTTAGGTTCTGGTGAGGCCTTTTCTGGATTGCAGACAGCTGTCTTGTTGTATTTTCAGATAGCAAGAGAAGAGCAAGGAAGAGGGCAAGAGAGCTCTTTGGAATCTCTTTAATAAGGGTTTCAATCCCATTCATGAGGGCTCTACCCTCATGACTTACTTACCTCCCAAAGGCCCTACCTCCTAATACTATCACACTGGGAATTAGGATTTCAATATATGCATTCTGTGGAGACACAAACATTCAGCCAATAATAGATGTTCCCTAATTTATGTATTCATTCCCTTACTTCTAGATATTTAGATTGTTTTTCAGCCTCTGCACTAAATCATACCGTATTAGAATTTTAAAATATAAACCTATGCCCTTTCTTCCCCTCTATATTTTCTTAGGCTTTATTTCTATAAGTGGATGATTGAGTCAAATGGTCTAGATATCTTTAGGGTCTGAATACACTTTGGCATATGATGTTCAGAAAGATTGTACTATTTCATACGCATACCTATTTTCTCACTATACCTTGCCGGCATTTAGAATGATCCTTTTTTTCTTTTAGTCTTATTAACTTGATAAAAAATATCTTCTCATCATTTTAGTTGTCATTTGTTTAATTGCAATAATGGAAATTTTTTTAAAGAAAATGAGAAGTTTCTTCTTTTCTCTCTCTTTCTCTCTTTTTTTTTTCCTAAGAGATGAGGTCTTGCCAAGTTTCCCAGGCTGGTCTTGAACCCTGGGCTCAGGCAATCCTCTTGCCTCTGCCTCCCAAAGTGCTGGGATTACAGGCATGGGCCACCACACCCACAAAAATGAGAATTTTCTAATATATGCTATGTTAAACATTGTAGAATAATTATTCAGAAAGATGTGTCTGACTCCTTTGTCTAAGATTTGTGCTAAGATAATATGGCCAAGTCTGTAGGTGGTGGTGATGTGAATTCTGGGAGTGCGACATGGTTTTTTGTTTTTTGTTTCTTTTTTTGGTTTAACACAACATAATTTATTATCTCCAAGATCTGGAGGCCAAAGTCTGAAATCGGTGTGCACAGGACTACACTTTATCCACCTTTTCTTACACTTTGATCCAGAGCCTTTTAACTACGGTAAAATGAGTGTCGCATGTTAAACCCAAGATTTTAAATCCGAGAGACCACAAAGAGCCAGCTCCGATGCAAACACACGAGGGTCTTTATTCAGGCTCGAGCCTGGGCTCACCTTTGAAGCCGACGCAGCGACTTCAGGGACGAGAGAGGCCCAACCCAGGCTAACACGCACCTTTTATACATAATTCTGAAGGGGTGGGGTGGCTTTACAAACTTGTGCACACAGGATTGGATAAAAACTATATGATGCAGTTACAAAGACTTTGATTGGTTGATTCAAGTTCAATTTGCTCGGGCTCAGGCTTAGTTACTTGTGATGGACAAGTAACTGCCAAACGGGCGGAATGGAATGCCAGATAAGCTAGGTTTACACAGTCACTGCATGTAAATTAACTTTGGCATGGGAGCTGGAGGTTTGAACCAACATAGAGCCCACCAGGAGAGTGGCTAGCGCCTCAGAGTCTACTGCAATCTAAGCAAAGGAATGTCCGGAAGGGGCTTATTGCTTAACATTTACATCCCGTTGCAGAAGCAGAAGTCAGCATGGCAATTGGGACGAACAGAGCTTAACAAGAGTTCTAAGTACACACACTGCTTAAAACATTGTATAACTTTACAATCACAGTCACTACCAGGCAAAGGAATATGCCTAGTCCTACGGGGTCTGAGGTAAGATTTAAATATTGTGAACGTGAGGCAGGGATAAAATACAGTGAACGCTTCTTTTACAGTGAGTATAGCTTTTTTGAATCTCTTGGGTCTCTCAGCAGGCTAGTGAAAGGCAAGTTGTTGCCCTAATTTATCCATTTTTAGTGTTGCAACATGGTTTTAAAGGGGCTTCTTCCTAGTGTATTGTCTTTAGAAGTGCCTTTTGAAATTTTTTAGAACCTCCCATTCATTCATAGGTTCCCAGACACTGAAACAGTAAATCACTGTCATAATCATAGCTAATGTTTATTGAGTATTTGCTATTATTTGCCAGGTACCTCACCAAATATTCTACTTGTATTATCTCACTTAATTTCATAAAATGAGATGTGCAAAGTTTTTTATCTCCATTTGTCAAATGGGGACTCTAAAGTTCAAAGAGAGTAAGGTATTTGGCCAGTGTCACAAAGTTAACAAGTAGCAGTACCTGGATTTGTACCCAGACATTCTGACCCCAAGGCCATACTCTTAGTCACTTTGATTCCTGGCAAGATTACTGACTTTGGGATGATTTACTTCTAAAAATGTAATCTGTTTTGTTAGTGGATACAACTGTTTGGAAAAGAGCCGTGGCAGTAATGGAAGAGTACTTTTTAGCTTCGCTTGCATTTATACTGCCTTGATTTTGTCTTGCAGGTTTGCATTGCCAAGTGCAACAGTACCTCTACCCTGGATGCGGTGCTCTCCCAGGACCTCATTGTGGCAGAGGGCCCTGCTGTAGAGGTTGGAGATTCTTTGGAAGTGGCCTATACTGGCTGGCTCTTTCAGAATCATGTGCTGGGTCAGGTAAGAAAATGTATCCTGCAAGTTCTTTTGTAATTTAAATAGCACGAGGGCTATTCACAGGAAAGGCATCATTACTGTGAATTACTGCTTTTGTCAAATAGAGAATAGAGATATTTTAGGAGCCCTGCATTGCTTTGGAGGCATATTATGAAATGCAAATATGTAAAATCTGCTCAGTGCCATTCTGTTTCTTTCCCTTAGGGAAGGTGGAAACCAATTTCCCAAGTACTATTATTTTTGCTAATTGTTCATGTGTATATCTTGTATCTTGTCCTCCTATAACAGTTTTAAACTTGAATATACTCTTCTGAGATTAGGTCTTAAAACTTTTTAGATCCTCCTCACGGGGTTTCTTGTACTGGATAGTATAAGTGTTGGGTTTGTTGTGTTTTAATATTATTAAGCCCTCAGAAGTGTTTAATACGAGAATAAAAAATTTAGTCTGAATTTTTAAAAAATGTGGATTCAAGACCCAACTTTATCCTAATTTGACCTTGATCAAGTCACTTATGCTCTTAATTATTTTTTTCTATTTGTGCATGGTTCTTACACTGCTTACTTGGCAAGATGGCTGTCAGCATCAAATGAGATAATTTATTTGAAAATACTTGATAAATGAAAAATGCCTAAATACATAGTGATAGAAAAGTATTTTTTTTTTCTAAAAATTAGCTTGGCGTGATAGCACATGCCTGTAGTTCCAAGCTACTTGGAAGACTGAGGTGGAAGGATTGCTGGAGCCCAGCAGGTCAACGCTGGGGTGGCCGTGAGCGTGCCACTGCACTCCAGTCTGGGCGATGGAGTGAGACTCCAACTCAAAGAAAAAAAAAAAAAAGAAAAGTATTTTTTTCTAAACCTGAAAAATCATTGTTTTAGAGATAATTCATTGCAATAACACTGTTAACTATGATATGGTCCAGTTTCTTCTGATCCTTTGAGAGCTGCTTCCTCAGTATATTTGGTGTTTCCTATTCCAGAAGTACTGTGCTTGTGTGTAGTTAGTTGAATATCATAATGATAATTATCATTTTTGAAATTACCTGACCTCATTTACTTTGATCAAATTGTAGGTATTTGACTCTACTGCTAACAAAGATAAATTGCTTCGCCTGAAATTGGGGTCAGGAAAGGTCATCAAGGTAAAGGCTTAACTGTGTTTTTGTATGGTTTTATCAGTTGTCTAGGCTTAATTCAGATTAGAGTTTGTGGCATTTATAACCTGTGTATATTTTTTGGTAGTCTGGAAATGCTTGGTTGAAAAGTAGGGGCTGGGTGTGGTGGCTCACGCATATAATCCCAGCACTTTGGGAAGTGGAGGCAAGAGAATTGCCAGAGTCCAGGGGTTTGAGACCAACCTCAGCAATTTGGTGAGACCTCATCTCTACAATAAATCAAAAAATTTGCTGGGTGTGGTGACGCACGCCTGTGGTTCCAGCTGCTTGGAAGGTTGAGGCAGATCACCTGAGACCAGCAGGTCAAGGCTGCAGTGGCCGTGAGCATGCCACTACACTCCAGCCTGGTCGACAGAATGAAACTCCTACTCAAAAAAAAAAAAAAGAAAAGAAAAGTGGGGAAGATATGTTACATTATCTGTAAAGATTTTTATCTGTGACACTATATAAATGGGTGTATTTGTTTTCTGTAGCCTTGACACTTTTTCATCCTGTGACTCTGAGAAAATTATTATAGCCTTTCTTTATATAGCCTAGCAAGGAAGAAGATGAGGCAGTTTCTTCTAGAAATGTGTCATAATGGGTTGATTTTCATCTGTTTGGGTTGCTTTGAATCAGCACTTCCCAATCACTGGGAGGCATCTGTAACTAACATAGAAAGAAGAACACTGGAATTGGAGTCTGAGGATCTGGGTTCAAGTTGTGAATCTGAGGATCTGGGTTCAAGCTGCAAGCATTTTATAAAATAAAGAGTATTTTACATATGTGTTGTATCATGATGTCAGAACATAGTGATGCATTGTGTTGTACTCATTCATCTGTGTGGCAAAAAGGTTTTCTTTATCATTTTATGACTGCTTTTCCCAGATTCTTTTGGAGACTATTTCCTGCTTATCAGCAGTCCCCAACCTTTTTAACATCAGAGATCAGTTTTGTAGATGACAGTTTTTTCACAGATGGGGTGAGGGATCATCAGGCATTGGATTCCCATAAGGAACATGCAACTTCTAGATCCCTCTCATGTACAGTTCACTCTAGGGTTTGTGTTCCTATGAGAATCTAATGCCATCACTGATCTGACAGTGGGTGGGCGGACTGCTCACCTGCTGCTCACCTCCTGCTGTGCAGTCCTGTTCCTAACAGGCCATTGACCTTAACTGGTCCAGGACCCCTGCTGTAGATCATAGTTAAGATATCACTCTTGAACCAAGACAGATATAGTGTTGAATCTTAGCTTAACAACTTATTAACTGTATGACCTAGTTAATTTCTACAAGCCTCATTTTTCTCACTTATAAAATAGGGATCATGCTGCCAACCATATAAAGTTTTTAGGGAGATTAAACAAGCTAATACATGGAAAGCATTTACCACAATACCTGTAAAAATATGTTTTCTATATGAGAGCCTTTATGCCTCTCTTATTGCCATTTTTTTATTCCTCCCATTTTTTCTCATCATCTAAAATAAGTATCTTTCATCCAACCCCAGATATACCAGCTTTTACAAGTAGGTTTAGAAACTGTATTCTAGATATTCTTATAACCAATGTGGGATAATAGTTGAACTTGACCTCTGCAGGTGCTGACTAAACTTGAAAATGTGATAAGTGAAAACGAATGCTCTTGTACTTAACTTTGTCTTATGTGGAGCTTTTTGTCTGATGAACTTTTCCCCCTCTCTGATTCCTAAAGGGCTGGGAGGATGGAATGCTGGGCATGAAAAAAGGAGGGAAGCGCTTGCTTATCATCCCTCCAGCCTATGCTGCTGGCTCTGAAGGGGTAATAGGCTGGACTCAAGCAACGGACTCCATCTTGGTGTTCGAGGTGGAGGTCAAGCGGGTAAGTGAAACTGTGCTGTGTTGTGTTTGATGAGTCCCCTGAATGTTTCTTTGCCAGTTAAGTTAAATGAATAAATGAATGAATATGTTTGAAAACCAGGTTCTGAAGATAGAGATTTCTTTTAAAAAGTAGAAATGGAGTAGTGGAAAAGAGCAATAGCTTTGGGATCTAAAGAACAAAATTTATGTCCTTGCTGATTCTCTATTCAGAATCTAGAACAGGTTGTTAACTTTGAGAAAATCACTTCGCCACATTAAGTTTCTTTATATTTTGTTTATAAAATAATGATTCCTGCCCAGTGTATGTACTTTCTTACTTAGTGATTCTATAGTTACAGATTTATTTTATTAGTGCATTTACATAAGTATGCAAAAATATATGTATGTATGTATATGTAGTTTCCTCCCTCTGCCACATTTAATAGTAAAAAACTGAAAACAACCTCTAAGTGTCCACTATCAAGAGACTGGTAAAATTCTGGGTTTTTTTCAGAGTAGACTTTTATGTAGCTCTTAAAGAATATCGAAAATCTATTGTTAAGTGAAAGAAGCAATTTGCAGAACAGTGTGGATAGTGTGGTCTCGTGTGTGTGTATGTGTGTATACATATATATATAGACATCTGTACACATAGTAATATGTACATGTATGTGTATACACATACGTACACGTAAAAGACACATATGCCCATATATTCACAGAAAATTCCTGGAAGCTTTAAAAGAAATGATTAAAAGTGATTTTCTTCTGGAGAATGGAAATGGAATTCAGAAACGTTGAGTTTTTAGCATTACCTTTTGTATCCTCTAAACATTTTATCATGAGTGTATATCTAATTTCCGTAATAAAATTACAACAAGTTGTGGTTAATTAATACTATACCCTGTCCCCGCAAAATGACGCTGTTGGCTTTACACTGTGATTGTTAGGTTCAAATAAGATAGTGTTTGTGACTAAAAGCTATAAAATATGATACAAGCAAGGCGCAGTGGCTCACACCTGGAATTCCAGAACTTTGGGAGTCCAAGGCAGGAGAATCATTTGAGTCCAGCAGTTTGAGACTAGCCTGGGCAACAGAGTGAGACCTCATCTCTACAAAAAATAAAAATAAAAAAATACAGTACCAAAAAAGAATATTATGGTCATTTTCCTTGTGGCTATTATTCCTGCTGCAGAGAAAAGATATACTTTCCTTCTCAGTGACACTTTTCCTAATTGGGTACCTTCATCCTGCTGGACCACTAGCTACCCACTCCCAGCTATCCTTTTTTTTCCTTTCTCTGTCTCTCTCTTTCTTTTTTTTACAGCTTTTATATTCTCTCTCGATTTTCCTCTAATTTTGTTTTAATTTTTTGTAGAGATGAGGTCTCACTGTGTTTCTTAAGCTGGTCTGGAACTCCTGGGCTCAAGCAATCCTCTTGCCTCAGTCTCTCAAAGTGCTGGGATTTCAGGCATGAGCCACCGTGCCTGGCCATCAGTTTTTCTTTGAATGTGAAGAAACCATAGCTGGTAATAGATAACAAGCCAGTTTGAATTTATCAAGATTGACATTTTGTAATCATGAGAAAAAATTGTCTGTTTTACCAGTAATCAAAGAATTACATATTGATATGCAAAGTAAATTGACAAAGCTGGTAGAGAATGATACTACCTAGTGTGGTAAGGGTGTTCAGAAAGATTTACACACTATTGTGGTATATAAATTAGTTCATTCTTTCCTGTGGGAAGTGTAATTGTTGGTATATGTTAAAAGTCTTAGACCGGGCTCGGCGGCTCAGCCTCTAATCCCAGCACTTTGGGAGGCTGAGGCAAGAGGATTGCCTGAGCCCGCGGGTTCGAGACCCGCCTAGGCAACTTGGCAAGACTTCGTCTCTACAATAAATCAAAAACTAGCCGGGCGTGTTAGTGTGCGCCTATAGTTCCAGCTACTTGGAAGGCTGTGGTGGAAAGCTTGCCGGAGCCTAGCAGGTTGAGGTTGCCGTGGCTTGGGAGCGTGCCACTGCACTCCAGTCTGGACAACAGAGTGAAACTCCAACTCAAAAAAAAAAAAAAAGTCTTTATAAAGAGCATACCTTTTATTCCAACAATTTTAACTTCTAGGAATTTATAGTTTGGAAATGTTTAAGATTATGTGCAAAGATATGGATACAAAGAAGCATTGTTATAAAAAAATAGGCTGAATGTCTAACAGTGAGGAATTGGTAAAATGTATTTGATAATAGGAGATGTTTATGACTTCAGTTTCTAGAATCCTTTGGAGACTTCTTTCTGTAGATAGATCATAGCAGTGAAGAGCTGACCTTTAAATTAGACGTACTCTTATTAAAAATAATGTAGATTAATATTTAGTGATATGGAAATTTGTTAATATATCAGTGAGTGAGCAAAACAGGTAACAAAATAGTATGGCCCATTTTTGTAAAAAATTACACACACACAGATAACATAATGGTAGATGGACTGCAAGTAATTATCACCTTTGTCTTTTTGCTTAGTTACTTTTTCTGATTTGTCTGAGGTGAACAGGTAATGGCTTGTGTAATAAAGAATACATAAAATGAAAGGAGCGGGGAGGGGAAAGGGTATCTGTAGCCTATTCCGCCTGTGGTGACCCTTTCCCTAGGTGAAGTTTGCCAAAGATTCCGGTTCTGATGGGCACAGTGTTAGTTCCCAGGATTCTGCAGCTCCTTCTCCGATCCCTGGTGCTGACAACCTCTCAACTGATCCTGTTGTGTCACCACCCATATCAGTGCCTTTTAAATCAGGGTAAGAGACCAGGATTGTAGCAAACTCTTTAATGGTTTGTGAAAATGATCCATATATGAGTTCAGAAATAGGGATATAGTTAAAAACTAAAATAATTTGAAATAACTAGAAAAAAGTGGGATCAGGGAAATGGGGAAAATACTTGCATCAGATTTTTCTGACAAAGGATTAATATTCATAGTCTATAAAAGCATTAACTTTAGTAGATGATACTACCTGCAAAACTGGAAGAAAACTGAACAAAGGGCATACATACAAAATATGTACCCATGGGAAAAAAATATAAATAAACATTTCGATGGAAAATTGTTCATCTTTAATAGCATTCAAGTCGAGCTCGGTGGCTCAGCCTGTAATCCCGCACCTTTGGGAGGCTGAGGTGAGTGGATTGCCTGAGCCCACGGGTTCAAGACCCGCCTGGGCAGGTGAGACCTCATCTCTACAATAAATCAAAAAATCAGCTGGGCATGGTAGCGTGCGCCTGTAATTCTGGCTACTCGGAAGGCTGAGGCAGAAGGATCGCCAGAGCGCAGCAGGTCGAGGCTGCGGTGGCCGGGAGTGGCCACTGCACTCCAGTCTGGGTGACAGAGTGAGACTCCAACTCAAAAAAAAAAAAAAATAGCATTCAAAGATTGTGCAAACTAAAGAAAAGTTAAAATTCTATTTTACAGTCATTAAATTGGCAACCTTTCTAAAAAAATAATTTGTTTATCCAGTATAATTTGGACTTGTGATTGTGGATTTTGTTTTTAATGTGGGGATATGTCTTATTTGCTTTCAGGGAGCCAGCTCTTCGAACCAAATCTAACTCACTCAATGAACAACTTACAATGAATACAGTAAGTAGAAGAGTCTTTCTTCCTCAACCTCAGTATGCTGAAGTTTCCAGTGCCTAGGATATGGTAGGATAGAGAAAAAAATGTTGAGAACCATTGATTTAGGCTACAAATCAGTAGTTACTTTATTCAGTGTAAGTTAGCCTATGCTTCTGCAAAGGGATTCAAGTCTTGATTCTTTTTAACATGTGGCCTTGAAAAAATTATCTCATACCTCATCAACAAAGGTACCTGCATAATCAGTGTTTGTATACCTAAAGGTACCTGCATAATCAATGTTTGTATACCTAACTGAATTGTACCCCACATCTTTATAATAAAAAAAGAATAATAAAAAAGTGAGAAGGAAAGAAAAAATTATCTAACTTCTCTAACGCTCAGCTTTTTAATTATTAAAATGGAAATAATTCTTACAGCCCTCTTAAATAGTTTTTGTGAGGATTAGAGATAACTTGTAAAGCTCTGAGCTCAGAGTTTGCCTTTAATGAATAGTAGCTGTGGTTATTATTAGGAGAATAGTATTAGATTAGAAGAGGAAACTCTCAGTTAAAATGTACTTCAATTTTAGAAATATTATTCAAAGAGGATTATATTATCGGTTAATCCTAGGCTTCTTCTGCTACTTACTTTGTGTGACCTTGAGAAATTTAGCTTCTCTAAACCTCAAGTTTATTACCTCATCTATAAAATGAAGATTTTTTGCCTACTTCAAAGAGATTTTCAGGATTTTTAAATAAAGTAATGTCTATAGAATTTTTAGTATGGTCTCTAGCATATTCTACAAATACAAAATAAACATTAACTCTTGTTATTATCATAAGTATTGTTAACACTACATATCTTTATACTTTCATGGTCACAGAGGAGCTGGATACTAATTCACTGACTAATGAACTTTGAGCAGGTCATTGAGCCTTTGTATTTACCCAATATGCCAAAATTTGGATTTGAATGTCTATATGGTAGTTTGCTGCCACTCTGCCAGCTCCATGAAGGCTTCTGAGTTTGCTGCCTACGGATCATACCGGCTAAAACACTTCAAGTTCTAAAGCCCTGTGGCCTTTACCTACCACACTGAGAAACAGCATAGGTGCATGGAATGAAATTGATTTTTAACATCTTACCAGCCCTAGTTTACTTGTTTTTTGTTTTGTTTGTTGTTTTTTTTTTTTTTTTTTTGAGTTGAAGTGTTACTGTCACCCAGGCTAGAGTACAGTGGTACGCTCACCGCTACTGCAGCCTTGACCTGCTGGGCTCAGGTGATCCTTCCGTCTAAGCCTTGCAAGAAGCTGGAATAACAGGCATGCACCACCATTCCCAGCTAATGTTTTGATTTATTGTAGTGACGAAGTCTCAACAAGTTGCACAGGCTGTTCTCAAACCCTGGAGTTGGGTAGTCCTCTTGCCTCGACCTCCCAAAGTGCTGAGATAACAGGTGTGAGCCAGCATGCCTGGCTACTTGTTATATTCAGCCAAAGCAGGAATTATTAAGCAAGAAATTGATCTGATATGTATAAAAATGATCTCCTGCTGGGTGCGATGGCTCATGCCTATAATCTTAGCACTTTGGGAGGCCAAGGTGAGAGGACTGCCTGAGCCCATGGGACCAGCCAGGGCAACTTGGCAAGACCTCATCTCTACAATAAATAAAAAAATTAGCCAGGTGTGGTGGCGCATGACTATTGTTCCAGCTTCTTGGAAGGCTGAGGGGGAAGAATCACCTGCACTCAGCAGGTTGAGGCTGTGGTGGCCGTGAACGTGGCACTGCACTCCAGTCTGGGCAACAGAGTGAGACTCCAACTCAAAAAAAACAAAGACAAAAAAAAACAGATCTCCTAAGAAGGTTAAATCAGAAAATCAGAATAAAATTAAAAAATAATTATAATCTCACATCTTTGAATAGCCCCCAGAATTATCCACTATTGGTTCCTTTATACTCTCTAGTCATAATTACTCTTGTCACCTCTTTCTAAGCTTTAGTAACTTCTAGTAGACTAGTGACCTCTAACTATTTTTGTTCTTTCTTTGTATTTTTTTTAACAAATTTTATATTTTAAATTGAGGCAAAATTCACATATGTGAAATTAACCATTTTTCTTTTTCCATCTTAAGTTTTTATCTTTTGTCTTGAATAGGTAATTACATTTATATGGCACAATTATCAAAACAATATAACAAGATCTACATTGTGAGGACTCATTCCTATTCCTCTCCATCTACCCTATTCCATCTCACACCCCTTAGGTAAACTGCTTTTATTAGTTTCTTAAAGATTCTTTCAGTGTTTCTTTTTGCAGGCATTTTTACACAAATAGAAATGTATATTTTATTCCTCCCTCCTCTTACACACATAAAATAGCATAATAGATATGTTATACATCTTGATTTTTCCATACATATATATTTTGTGTGTTAATGTAAGAGAGGTTTTTTTGTGGTTTTGAGTCAGGGTCTTACTCTGTTGCCCAGGCTGGAGTGTAGTGGCAAGATCATGATGTACTGCAGCCTCGACCTCTTGGGTTCAAGTGATCCTTCTACCTCAGTCTCCCAGGTAGCTGGGACTACAGACACACACACCACCATGCCTAGCTAATTTTCTGATTTTTTTTTTTTATAGAGCAAGGTCTGGCTGTGTTGCTCAGGCTGCTCTCGTATGCCTGAACTCAAGCAGTCCTCCCGTCTCAGCCTCCCAAAGTGCTGGGATTGCAGGCATGAGCCATCATATCTGGCCCATTCATTTTTTTTTAATTTATAGATCACAGTATTCCATTATGTGCATATGGCTTATATAAATATTCTTTATGTATCTAACTTTTCAAAATTGTGTACTTCCACCAGTTAAAAAAATGAGCACACACTCCCAGCATATATTTATTGAAAAGTTATATATATAAGGTACTATCTATCCCTGTAAGCAAACTTATCATCTTATTTTCGTAGCTTAAAAATAATAAAAATGGAGATTATTTCATTTCTTTCTACAACCACTAGGTCATCTTGTGCATCTTCAGATATATGTACTCTCCATTCTGAAACTTAGGACCAATTAATGGATACAGAAGCATTTATCACAGGATCTAGTATATAATCAATGCCAAGTTACAGTTAAATGGACCTAAAGTTAGAACAAAGCACTCCTGTTTCTGTCTCTCCACAAATCTCTTCCAAGTATCTATCAACTGAATTGCTTCAGGCTTTTGAGTGAGGATACTGTCATCCAAAATGCCTCTCTTCCTTAACATTTCTTATCTGTTTTTTATCTGTAAAATAAGACTAATTATGCTTGCTGGGGAGACTTGATTAAAACATACGGGGAATTATTTTTACTGCTATTATTAATTATGTATGCTCTCTGCAAGAAATCTTTCATTCTCATTTTCTAGAGGAAATGGTTTCAAATAGGTATGGTGGGGGGGGTTGCTTCAGGATTTGATACAAGAGCCAAAGAGATAGAGCTTCCTGAAGGTAATGTATCTTGATCACAGTGATTTTTTGACGGTACTGTCTTTTTAGAGTTCTGATGCAGTCAAGGCCAAGTTGATCTCTCGGATGGCTAAAATGGGCCAGCCCATGCTGCCCATCCTTCCACCACAGCTGGATTCCAATGATTCAGAAATCGAAGTAGGTCCCCCTGGCCGTAATAAAATGAGTAGTATAGATATTGACATCTTTTGTTTCTTTAGTTTAAATGATTGCTTTTTCTGCCTCTAAGGCAAAATCATTATTAGAGGGCTTATATGCAAAATGATACAGACGGTATTGGTACATGTGTTTTCACTGTGATTGACACTTCTGAGGGATGGAAGCACTTCCATACATCTACCAAAAGAACCATTTTCAGTAGTTAATTTAGCCTTCATTTACTAGAATCTCTATTGTTAGTAGAGATCGCTCTTTAGGTGCTCAATTCATATTTGTTAATTGAATGTTTAGATCCTTTTTGGAAATATTGGTCTTCCTTCTGATGTTACCTATTACTAAAGGCAAACTGTTATGTCTTTTGAGTTTGTATGTGGTGTTTTTGTTTGTTTTTTATTTTGAAGTTCAGGAATTTAAAAATCAAACCTGTTGATTTCTTCCCTTATTACTTTTTCTTGGCATTATGCTTAGAAAGCCTTCCTGCTTTACATATATTGTAAATATCACTTGTATTTTTGAAAATTTTTATTTATTATTTCATATTTAGATCTAAATTTTTAATCCATCTTGAATTTGGTGATGCTATGAAGTAACTTAGCTTTAACTTAATTTTTTTCCCAATGGCTAGCTCTTTGTTGAATAAAGCCATCTTTTCTGAATTGAATTGAAATACATAACAGAGATTGATTTTAAGGATTCTTTCACTTTGATGTAAAATGAAGAAAAGGTAATACTCTTGAGAAAAAATTTTCTGGATAAGCTTTATATTTTATAGTTGTGTTTTACATCTTCCTGGAAAAGCTTGAAGTAGATTTAGTATTTTAAAGGAAGATAGGATTTCTGAAACCTGTTGTTATAGGATTAATATTTCTTTGTTCTGGAAATGAAATGTGAATAAGTTAATGTTCTTATTAAAAATTTTACACTGCTATTTATTCATTGTAGAATAATTTAAAATTAAAGATGAAGAAACATTTAACAAAAAGGGCATTCTACTTTAGATATTGCTTTGTAACCTAATTGTTAAACATAATGTTTATAATAAACATTTATGTTAGCATAAGTAAATAACACATTGTTAGTTTAATGGTAACCCAGTGTTCTATTATATCAATTTATCATAATTCCTTTCATTCTATTGTTAGACATTTAGGTTGGTTTAGAGATATAACAACCTAAAACTGGTTCTTTTCCAGAAAAGAATATTAGAGGATGAGGAGAAGTTCTAAAGTAATTAAATGTCAAAGAAATTTCAGCCCTTGAATTATAGCATAGCTTATTACAGTCACTATATATTATGCCCTCAAGATTTTTTGTTTCTTGTATGAAGCAGCTGTTTAGAGTTATAGCTTTGATTTTATAAAAAGAAAAAAAGAGGAAAAACACTCTGAAACAGCATTATCCAAAAACAGCATGTTAATGAGGTTTACAGTAAATCTTATCTTATTTTTGTTGAGTACCTTGAGTCCTATGGCGATTACTTAGCAGAAGAGGCTGGTTTATTCCTTGCAAGAGACCCTCGTTTGTGGGAACAGATTAGATCAGTCTTAAGGTAGCTGCTGGTTTAGAAAATGATACATTCTAAAGAACCGTCAGTTTAGTTGCTTCAGACAATAGAATATCAACAACTTAAAATATTTGTGGAAATTAACTGTATTTAATTATTTGTTATGATTTATAGCAAGAAGGGCTCCTACTCTATTGCTTAGTAGAGTGTTTTCTCCCCTTAACCCACACCCTAAACTCTTGGGTTTCTGCTTGCCTTTCCTTGCTCTTCCTCGCCTGGAAACCCTGTGTTGCAAGCTGGTTTAGGGAAGACAGTCAGCCTCAGTCTTCAATGAAGGACTTTCACATAGTAACCAGAACCCTCCTGCCTATTTCAGGATGTGAACACACTGCGAGGAGCTGGGCAGCCCATGGTGACTCCGTCTGTCCAGCCCTCTCTTCAGCCAGCCCATTCAGTGTTACCACAGATGACCTCACAGGGTAAGGAACCTCTCTGAGGCTCTGTGACCTTGAACTGGGTTATCACCAAAATTCTCATCACTGTTCATTAAATTGCTACGCTACATTGGTTTAGTACTTAGGACTAAAGTATAAGTGTTAAGAGTATAAAAACTTGTCAATTTGTCCCTAGATAGGGCATTTTCAGACCTGGAGATGTTTTTGGCCTGTTTGTTGTGACTTCCGCTGTGTTTCACTGTCAGTTTTGGAAATCTGCACTCAGCTGTTGAGACATCTCCCTAAGTGTTATTCTGTACTTTCTGTCAGCTGATGGGTCACAGGGCTGAGTCAGAAGCACACGAGAACTCCCAGAGTCCTCTCCTGGCCTATTGCTGAGACTCTGATAGAGCTGTTTTAGGAGATTAGATGAGAAAGGTGGTTGAATCTGAAGCATGGTATATGTTAGGTGCTAGTCCATACTCATGCCAAGAAACAAGGTTGGATAACAATGAAAATATCTTGCTTTATCTTAGCACCTCAGCCATCTGTTTCTGGGCTCCAAGCACCCTCTACTGCCTTAATGCAGGTTGCACCTCTCGATTCCCACTCAGCTATCTCTGGAAATACCCAGTCCTTTCAGGTAACAACACTGTTAAACCATCTTAATTATATGGTATAATTTATTGTGGCTCTGGTCAGTGTCTTTTTTTCCTTCCTGTACAATTCATATGTTAGCAGTTCTCCAAAATCAAGTGTTGATAATTTTTTTTCCCTTCCTGAATCACTACTTTCTCATCTCTAAACCAGGCGAAGGATTACCTACCTTAAAGAGTATTGTAAAAGTTAAATTCAAGAACAAGCAAAGCACCTAATACAAGGTCTGGGCCTGGCACGTGATAAAGGTCCAATTACTGTTTGTTTCTTTTCTTTTCACGCACATTTAGGTGAGGGGTATATATTCACTTCTGTATTCTTTTCTGTTAAAAGTTGATTGGGTAACATTCTGCCCTATACTCAGCAGAATGGTTATGAGTTGAGAGTGGAATTATATGGGAAGTATAGCTAGACTCTGCTGTCTAGTAATCCTCCAAAAGCGATCTCTTAAAGAAGGATTTTCCTGTTATCATGAAGTCAATGGCAATAGCCTATCTGCCTCTGCTGTTTGCCAGGGTAATGGACTCTTTCTTCTGCCTCAATATTCTTGATGGATAAGACACACACTCAGGATAGTGGGGGATCCCTTCTTTGGTGATTGTTAGTGGAGGGGCGGGAGTGATGGTGGACAGGCTATGCCTCACTGGAATGGATAGTATCAAAACTGGGAAATGGGGGGGTGGGGGATGGGATTAACAGTAGCAAATATCTGTCTGGGGAAGGGGAAACACCTCTTATCAACAGGGTGCCTGAATGAAATGTAATTGTACACCTAACCCTTAACTGTACCCCACAAAACCATAATAAAAAATGCTGATTTAAAAAAAAAAAAACTGGTCCCATTGTTGCCCTCTTTCTATCCATCCCTCCATGGAGAATTACTATTCTATAGACTAAGATTTTTTTTTTTTTTTTAATGAATGTGTAGTTATATTTGCCCCTGGAAACTAACTAGATTTTCTTATTTCAGGAAAGAATAACCATCCTCATTAAAATGAATGTTGCTCATTTACTGAGCATTTACTATCTACCAGGCACTTAACTTACAGGTTTTAGGAACTTTTCCTATATCACTTCATTTAGTCCACACAACAGCGCTATGAAATGATATCATTATCTGTATCTTACAGTTGAAGTGACCAAGACTCAGAGAAAAATGAGGGCTCTTGGTCACGCAGATAAGCATCAGAATCTAGTGGGGGAAAGGCATCCTTGGGTTGGAAATCTCAGTGAATACTTATTTAACTCAGTGGAAACTAAGCAGCATTTGATTAATTTAAACACTTCTTAGACAATAGGCTAGACAATGGAGAATGAACTCCTACTTAATTAAATCATATCACTAGCAAATTGGGTAGTGACCGAAAATAGCCTTTCCTTAATTTCTGGGTAGGACTTTAGTGACTGGGCTCCACTGGGTTACAAAAATAACTCTCCTGCTGCAATTCTTACCCACTGCCAAACCCTGACCTCCTCCATCTCCAGCTTCAATAAGTTTGAGTCTCCTCCCAGCTTATCTGCTTTATCCCACCATAAAAAGAGAGAGGCAAGAATGTTTTGTAAACCAGTAGTAACTTGGCATTTTCTCAGCCCTATGCAGGTGTGCAAGCCTATGCTTATCCCCAGGCATCTACCATCACCTCCCAGCTGCAGCCTGTTCGGCCCTTGTACCCAGCACCACTCTCTCAGCCTCCCCATTTTCAAGGTAGGGCATGATTCCCTCAGCCTCTCATCTTCCATTCTTGTACTCTGTTTCCTTTCAGTTCTTTTTCAGTTTCACTCCGACAGCTCTCTATCCATTGTTTTTCTTTTTGTTAACAGCTTTGTTGAGATATAATTTACATTTCCACGCATTCATTCATTTTAAGTGTAAAATTCAAATATTTTTAAAAGTAAATTTGCACAGTTGTGCATCCATCACTGAAGTACTATTTTAGAATGTTTCCATCATCCCCCAAAGTCCCCTTGTGCCCACGTTCTGCATTTTATTTCTTGCTTGTTCCCCCACCAGCCCTTTTAATTCCTCTATCAGAGTGACTGGAGTTTGTAGAAAATAGTAAAATTGAAAAACATTAGAAGAAATTGACAGACAGCACGAAAACTTTGTGGCTGTTCAGTATCTTAAATGAAAGCTATTTTGTTAAAATTTTTTAATTATGAAAATAATATACTTTTATAAAAATGTCAAACAATACAAAAAGGTATCAAGTGAAAAGCTCCCATCATTAATCCATCCTGATCTGTTGTTCACTGTTCCTTGGGTAATTTTTCAGATATTTTATATGTGTGTAGAAGTGTGGGTGTCTTGTGTAGAACAGCAAAATAAAATAAAATGTTAACTGCTGTGATGGTATCTTCCCTTATTCTGCTGTTTGCCATTTGCTTAGTAATCACCTTTGGTATTAGGACAATAGTAGGAAGTAGCCAGTATGTCCTACAGTGTTATCTGTGGTTCTGGAGTGGTCAGGGTTTCCTGAATGCAGCCTTGGCTGGAGGCTGTTTCCTCTTCCATCTGGGAAATACTTTTTCATTCATCAAAAACTGTCATCTCCTCTGTGAAGCCTTCCCCTGACTATTATCCATTTCTCCATCCTCTCGTCTTACAGACACAACTGAGTGTATGTGTTGACAAATAATTAAGCTTGCTCTTCTCTGTGCTATTTTTGTATCTATACATGATCCACTGTTTGCACTTAAAACACTCTGTTTTAACAATTTGTTTACATATCAGACTGAGAGCTCACCAAGGCAAGAACCCTATTTTATTCATTGCTGTATTCCTGGTACCTGGTACAATGCCTGGTGTGCAATCGGATGAACAGCGAAGCAACTTGAACGGCCAGTGCTAAAAAGTGGGCATACTTGTACCCTTGGACCAGACTATAGCCCTTGATGCATTTTGCAGTAACATAGCTTAGTTACTGTTAGCTTTGGAGCACTTTTGCCTCTGCTATCTCCCCTACATCTTCTCCTGACAGTATGAAATCACCTGTAGCATTTCCTGATGTATGGAGGTGTAAATTTCTTTTTTTTCCCTCTGCTAAAAGAGCTGTTTGCTTTTTCTCATACATTTCCCTGTGCTCCAGTTCATAAGCTTTTGTGGCTTTTGTCTGTTTAGGATCAGGTGACATGGCTTCATTTCTCATGACCGAAGCCCGGCAACACAACACTGAAATTCGAATGGCAGTCAGCAAAGTGGCTGATAAAATGGATCATCTCATGACTAAGGTGACTGAGTCAAGGTTGGGCCATCTTGAAAGTGGGGGGTAAGCCGGGCTCGGTGGCTCAGCCTATAATCCCGCACCTTTGGGAGGCTGAGGTGAGTGAATTTCCTGAGCCCGCGGGTTCGAGACCTGCCTGGGCAGTGAGACCTCATCTCTACAATAAATTAAAAAAATCAGCCAGGCGTGGTAGCGCATGCCTGTAATTCCGGCTACTTGGAAGGCTGAGGCGGAAGGATCGCCGGAGCCCAGCAGGTCGAGGCTGCGGTGCTGGGAGCGGCCACTGCATTCCAGTCTGGGCGATAGAGTGAGACTCCAACTCAAAAAAAAAAAAAAAAAGAAAGAAAGTGGGGGGTATAAACAGGGAGCAGCAAGAGCTATACATGTTTTCTTGTATTTATGATAGTTATTTCCCTAGAAAGATAGTTACCATTATTTGGGGATCCAGTTGGTAGGAGAAAACTCTAGCTTACATTTACAGATTGTCTCAGAAACTTATTAGATCTTTTAAAAGTGGTCAGAAGTTAGGTAAATTGTATTTCTTCATTTTTAAGCTTTCTTACAAGGTCTTTCTGGCATCTCCTTTGTAGGTTGAAGAGTTGCAGAAACATAGTGCTGGCAATTCCATGCTTATTCCTAGCATGTCAGTTACCATGGAAACAAGCATGATTATGAGCAACATCCAGCGCATCGTTCAGGTGAGGATGATCGAGGACAGAACATTCAGCCAGGAGGTCTTGTCTGTGCTTTCTCCCAGATGTACTACCCTTTAACACGTCTACCCCCAAAATAGCACGTGGTAAATGCTACACTGGGTTAGAACATTCTGGAAAATCCATTGTGGCTTAATTTGGTTCAAATGACTTATCACTGTATAGTCAGAAGGGAACATTGCTTTTTGACCATACTTCAGAATTTCACTTCATTTCTATTTATACACTCAATCCATTGGACTTAGCAATTTGTATCCATCAGATATAATCTGATATGTTGTTTTAACTATTATATCTATGTGGACATAAGTTCTAGTTTTTTGTTTCAAAATATGTTAACAGTGTCACTTATCAGTTCAAGTTGATTTCCTTTTATGTGGCACTTTAAGACACTTAAATTGTATATCATGTATTTTGAATTTAGGAAAATGAAAGATTGAAGCAAGAGATCCTTGAAAAGAGCAGTCGGATAGAAGAACAGAATGACAAGATTAGTGAACTAATTGAACGAAATCAGAGGTAATGACAGGTACGGGGCCTGGACAGGATGGACAAAAGGGTTTAATATGTATGTGTTCAACTTAAATACATGTTTGTTTAGGGCAGTGCTTATGTGTTTCTGCTGTTTCTGTTTCCTGCCTGTGACATGAATTGTGTTTTCTGAGAGCGTTTTGGTAGGAAGAGTTCAGTAGTCTGTGATATAAGGCAGACCTATGTAAGACTCTTCTTTACCTCTCATTCATTGTGAAGCTTTGGGCATTTCGTTTTTGCTGGCCCTAGTTTATCTGTACAACTAGTACTAATACTTAGGAAACTTTGATGGCAACTCTTCTCTTCTGTGTGGGCTGACTTCATTTTATCAACTGGAATGCAACCAGAACCTCACTGATTCCCATGTAAAACCAAGATTGTGTAATTTTTGCAGATCCTTCTGAAGATTTGGGGGAAGGGGGTCAGTGAAGCATGTCACAATATAGCATTTCACATTTTTTAAAAAATCTATATTTCTCTTCTCTAGTGTCTCTTGTCTACCATATAGTGGGGTTGTGGGAGGAGAGGCTTTCTTCTCTTCTCCTTGTAGCCTTTTTCCTCCTGTCTCTTTCTTCACTCATTCCCCATCATCCACACCCTTCACATTCTTCTACTCTTATTATGCAAAGCAGTTTACCTCTAGCCTGATTTCCTTAGATCTGATTGCTCTAGATCTAAGGAAAACAAAATGCTTTCAGATTGCTTTTGATGACGTGGCAATATTGTAAGGACTGAGTGGGCACTGGGATGCATTTGATTTGATTTGTGCCTGGCATGCATTTGATGTTTGATAAATGTTTTCTTTTCCCCTATTTCTTTCACAGATATGTTGAACAGAGTAACCTGATGATGGAGAAGAGGAACAACTCACTTCAAACAGCCACAGAAAACACACAGGCAAGAGTATTGCATGCTGAACAAGAGAAGGTAAAGTAATGGGAGAGAAAAACCCAGGTCAGGATGGGTAGAGCTAAGGAGTGGTCCCATGTACGTACTTACCAGTTGGTTTGCCAGCAGAATTTTTGCCATCACTGGGAAAATAACTCGAAATCTTTTAACAGGTTTTCTTTCTTTCTTTTTCTTTTTTTTTTTTTGAGTTGGGGTCTCATTCCGTAACCCCGACTGGAGTGCAGTGCCATGCTCCCGGCCACTGCAGCCTCTACCTGCTGGACTCTGGTGATCCTTCTGCCTCAACCTTCCAAGTAGCCGGAACTATAGGCGTGCGCTACCATGCCCGGCTAATTTTTGATTTATTGGAGAGATGAGGTCACCAAGTTGCCTGGGTGGGTCTCGAACCCACAGGCTCAGGCAATCCACTCACCTCGGCCTCCCAAAGCACTGGGATTATAGGCTGAGCCACCGATCCTGGTCAACAGGTTTTCTTATATCCATCATCCATGTTTCCATTTTATAATATGCTTTGCAGTAAGTAGACTAAAAATAACCACTGATCTTAGTAGTTTGATTAAGGTAAGAGTTACACTACTTACTAGAAACTAAATTTATGCTGTTGACAGAATCTGTTGACAGAAAAATTCTGTTATGCCATGTAACAGACTTGTAGGTTGTTTCTAGTGAAATTTAAGATTGTTTAGTTTGCTCCTTCATCTGTGTCTACAAAGCATTTTGAAGTATTACTGTTTGACTTCAGTTCTTTTGAAATTAGGAATTCTGACCTCTTCTTGCAGTAGCAACAAGGAAGACTTTAGTGGGTCTTGGATTGTGATCTGATTCTGAAACTCACTCCTCTCCTTGTTCTAGTGAATTGTTTGTCCAGAATGGATTCCTTATTTGGGCTACCAATCCTAGGCTGGGAGATCCTGACTTTCCATCTGATGTTTTCTGAGAGATTTAGAAATAGTTTATGTTTTGTATTTGTGTCTTCCTTGAAAACTTGAAAAGATGAATGGAATATACTTTACGTTTGTGGAGTTTACTCTTCTGTCTTATGCTAATCTTTGTGTTTTCTTAGCCATGGTATCCAGGCGATGTCTTTGACCTTTTATCCTCAGATAAGTAATGTATTGCCCTGCATAGCCCTGTCCAATCCTGACCCTATTTCACTCCCATTGCTACTTTGTACCATCCTTTGTTAATGTGGCTGACTCCTAATGCCTAGATCAAGATCAGCAGCCTGTGACACTGTTATCATTGAATGGCACTGTAGCCATTTCACCTTATTGTTTTCTCCTTCCTCTACTTTTATTTCATCTCTTCCTCTCTTTTACTCGTTTTGTGTGTGTGTGTTTGCTTTTTCTTTTCATTTCCTTAGGCCTGTAAGGGGCATCTAAATATATTATTTATTTTAATTGTTACTATTTAGGGCTAAAATGATTACTATAATTAGTTCTAGATCATTGGTACCCAAACACTGGTCTAGCTGTCTCAGACTCACTTGAGGAGCTTGATTTAAACTACATATTCTTAAGTCCCACCTCCAGAGATTCTAATTTAGTATAGTTAGCTGAGGTCTGAATCTGAACTTTTAAAAATTATTTTTATTATTTTTTGTTTTTTATTGTAGAGATGAGGTCTCACCAAGTTGCCTAGGCTGGTCGAAACTGTGGGCTCAGGCAATCCTCTCACCGTGGCCTTCCTAAGTGCTGGGATTATAGGCATAAGCCACCATGCCCCACCTTGAATTGAACTTTTATTTTTATTTAATTAAATTAATTAATTTATTTATTTTTGAGTTGGAGTCTTACTCTGTTGCCCAGACTGGAGTACAGTGGCCACTCTGGCCACTGCAGCCTCAACCTGCTGGGCTCTGGCAGTTCTTCCACCTCAGCCTTCCAAGTAGCTAGAACTACAGGCGTGCGCTACGATGCCTGGCTGATTTTTTGATTTATTGTAGAGATGAGGTCTCACCAAGTTGCCCAGGCGGGTCTCGAACCCATGGGCTCAGGCAATCCACTCACCTCAGCCTCCCAAGGCGCGGGATTACAGGCTGAGCCACCGAGCCCAGCTGAATTGAACTTTTAAAAAGCTCCCCTTGATTCCTGTACATAGCCAGGTGTAGGAATCACTGCTCTTGTCATTGATTTCTTTTGTCACAGTCTCTGGTGGTAGTAGCTGAATACTTTTGTTTTTAATAAGTTCAGCATGTGACTCTCATGTTGAATATCACTAGTGTGTGTGTGTGTGTGTGTGTGTGTGTGTGTGTGTTCGTGTGTGTGTGTTCCAATAAAACTTATAAAAACAAGCAGTAGGCCAATTTGGCTCCTACGTCATAGTTTGCCAACTCCTGAATTAACTCATTAATCTACCCAAATGTTTTTATGTGGATAAACCCCAAAGAAGTCTGACACCATACATTGAACTCAGTGGCTGCTATACTGCAAAAACAGTACTAGTAATAATAAACACTACAGTAATAAATCTGTCAAATACCCACTATGTTTGAGACATGGTGCTTCACACAAATCTCCTAGGCTGAGTATCACTCTTCTTGATGACTAGGGTACCAAATACCACGTTTCACTTGATCACCTTTATGTCAGTGAAATATTTTGAGCTTTTATTCTCCCTGTTTTTCTTTTGATCTACTTCTCATTTACTGAATGGTCTTTTCCCTGTGATTTCTCCTTTTAAAGGAGACAGATGAGGTTCTTTCATCCCTGCAGGCAGTTTTCTGCCTTTAGACACAGCTCAGAAAAGTATGGTTTAGTGTTCAATGAATATTTCGTAAATGAAATTATTTTTCTTTATGATGTAATATTGCCGCATAAAACCATGGAATAATGGCTAAAACTAGAAGAGCTATCAGAGGTGATCTAGTTTAATCTTTTCTTACAAAGGGACAAACTGAAGCCCAGAGAGTAAAAGGATTTTTAAAAACCTGCCCTAGAACCTCACTTTCAGTCAGCTGAGTTCTTTTTCCCACATCAAATTGCCATTTCTCTTTGGAACTGTTTTCCTGCTTCTACCTCAAAAGCATTTTTCACTTATTTTTCTGAACTCTTGGTTCTTCTTGTCATTTGCTTTCTTTTCTCAGCTCTCCATGTCAAAAGCAGAATTTGATCCAGGGTAGGAATCAGGGAGCCAGCCATCCTATCCACTGTATACGTTTTTTGTGTTTTCTTTTCTCACTTGATATTTCATACCCTGACCTTTAAAAAATTATAATTATAGGCTGGGCTCGGTGACTCAGCCTGTAATCCCAGCACTTTGGGAGGCTGAGGCGAGTAGATTGCCTGAGCCTGTGGGTTCGAGACCAGCCCAGGCAACTTGACGAGACCCTGTCTCTACAATAAATCAAAAATCAGCTAGGCATGGTAGCACGCACCTTGGAAGGCTGAGGTGGAAGGATTGCCGGAGCCCAGCAGGTTGACGCTTGGGTGGCCGTGAGTGTGCTACTGCACTCCGGCCTGGGCAACAGAGTGAGACTCCAACTCAAAAAAAAAAAATTATAATTATATATAAATACACATACACATATATACACATACACACACATATATACACACATACTTTTTTCTGATTATAATAGTTGCAACTGTTCATTCTGAAAAATTAAAAAATAGATAAGCAAAAAAATATAAATTACCCTTAATTCTTCTGCTCAAAGATAACTGATTGTTAATATTTTATTCATTCCTTTACAGTTTTGCATGTGCATGTATGTGTGTTTGGGTGAGATTATTAATTTTTATGTTTCTATTAGGCTTTTCTAGCTAAGAACCTGAGATTAAAAGAACTTTTGGGTGACCTTCCACTCTGCTTGTCCTTTGGTTTGAGAGTGACCATCCAATCCATTTCCTCTCATTTGAATTTAACTCTTCAGTGTTCTAGCTGCTGTAAGGCCTTGAGAGAGTAGTACTTGCTCTGATATTAGTGAGCTCTCTGAGCAATGGATACATGCAAAGCTTTCTGAGCTCTGAGTTAGTTCAGTTTCCATTAGGCCATTTGAAGCAAGAGTGAATGAAACTTATTATACTTGGGGAAGTAAATTTGGAAGTTCTAGATGTCATTGTCATTTGTGTTTAATAGATAAAAACCTAAGGCTGCTGAATAGCAAAAATAAGCATCTTAGAGCTTATTCTAAAGGCACATATAATCTCAGATACTAATTAATAGCCTATTTATTTATATTTTATATGCAATTTTAATTTATTTTATTTCCCTTATCTTCAGGAGAGACAGAATATCAATTTTAAAATGGAAGTTAAAAAACTGAGAGAGGCTTTGGAATAAGGCAAGGAATAAATATATCTGAAACAGGAGGGCACAGTGAACACCATAAGAAGGGACAAATGATAAGAAAGTAGACAACTGTAAAAATGTGTGCAAGCATGATAGCATAGAATTACCAATAGAAGTAGCAATGCAGTAGTATAGGAGAGAAGGTCCACTTCCATAAATACATAGATATCCAAAAGTCAAGGCTGATTGCCTGTGAAGTAGTCACTCACTACCTTTTCTATCATCTGATTTCTCCTGTATATTATGGGAACACATTGATTCAGGTGAAATGGATATGGTATTTTTCATTTGTTTACCATACCTTTTTATTGACCATATAAAAAAATCATCATTGTCATCACCCTTAATACACAGAATGTCATTAGAGGGTTTTAGTCATCTCATTTTCATCAGCTGTTGCTTGAGAATACTTAAGTCCTTTAGATTGAACTTGAGCCCTCTTTGGCTAGGACAGAGTACCATTTAAAATGCATTGATCAGTCAAGGAAGTTGAAGTATACCCTTCCTTTATTAGCGCTGTTCTTTTGAGGTCCCCCAAGCAGTTACTGTCGTGTTACTGGCCTTTACAATTGCAGTACGACTAGTAGTACAGTACCCTTAGGAAAAATTGTAGAATCAGAAGTTTGCTGTCTTTGAAGGCATTCCATTTAAATTTTAAAATATCCTTTTCTTATTAACAAAATACATTTTATCAAAGAAAAGTCAGGAATATAATTTTCTCATTTATCAGATTGGTAGAAATTTAAATTTTTACGAGTATTGATGAGACTGGTAGGAGTATAGAATGGAGAGGAACTGATAATGTTGTACAAAATTACAAAAGCATTTCCTCTTTGAGTTAGCAATTCCGCTTCTAGGGATCTCCTAAAGGCACATCTGCACACAAACAGAATGACTTGTATCCGGGGTTATTCATTGGTGTTTTGTTGTGTAATAAGAAAACATTGGAAACAATCCAAGTGTTCTGCAGTAGAGAATAAACTGTGGCACAGTTACATGATGGAATACTGTGCAGTTATTTTTTTTTAAAGGAGGAAAATCTGTATACCAATAGAGAGTATTTGCTACCTTTTGTGTGTGAAAGGTAGGCAAATGAGAATCATGTTAGTATTTGTATAAAGAATCACTTCATACAATTGGAAAAATGAGAAACAAATAATTATTATTTTTTTTGAGTTAAAGTCTCACTCTGTCACCCAGACCACCGCAGCCTCAACCTGCTGGGCTCCGGCGATCCTTCCGCCTCAGCCTTCCAAGTAGCTGGAACTACAGGTGCGCGCTACCACACCCAGCTAATTTTTTGATTTATTGTAGAGATGAGGTCTCGCCAAGTTGCCCAGGCGGGTCTCGAACCCGCGGCTCAGGCAGTCCACTCACCTCAGCCTCCCAAAGCGCAGGATTACAGGCTGAACCACCAAGCCTGACTGAGAAATAAATTATTATATGGCTACCCATGTGAGGCAGGGGAAAGAGGTAGATGGAGATAGGTATGGGAACTTTTGGGTGACCTTCTACTCCTCATTGTTTACTTTTTTCTATCGTTTTAATTTTTGAGCAATGGAAACATCTTTCCAAAAAATTTCTTTTCAAAACAAATATATAATCTGACAAGCAAAAAGAAAATATAAGCCAGGCATGGAGGCTTATACCTCTAATCCCAGCATTTTGGGAGGCTAAGGCAGGAGAATCACTTGAGGTCAGCAATTCTAGACTAGCCTGGGTGACATAGTGAAAGCCCGTCTCTACAAAAAAAAAAAATTAGCTGTGCATGGTGGCACAGCTACTCAGGAGGCTGAGGTCGGAGGATCCCTTGTACCCAGGAGTTTGAGGCTGTGGTGAGCTGTGATTGTACTACTGCACTCCAGCCTGGGCAACAGAGCAAGACCCCATCTCTTAAAAAAAAAAAAGAAAATCTAAAGAACCCATACTTCATAATTCTATCTAGATTAACTACTGCTTTAAAAAAATCATTCAAGCCGGGCTCGGTGGCTCAGCCTGTAATCCTGCGCCTTTGGGAGGCTGAGGTGAGTGGATTGCCTGAGCCCGTGGGTTCGAGACCCGCCTGGGCAGCGAGACCTCATCTCTACAATAAATCAAAAAATCAGCCGGGCGTGGTAGTGCATGCCTGTAATTTCGGCTGCTTGGAAGGCTGAGGCGGAAGGATCACCAGAGCCCAGCAGGTCGAGGCTGCGGTGGCCGGGAGTGGCCACTGCACTCCAGTCTGGGTGACAGAGTGAAACTTCAACTGAAAAAAAAAAAAAAAAAAATTAATTCAAGCCAGGCTCGGTGGCTCAGCCTGTAATCCTGCACCTTGGGAGGCTGAGGTGAGTGAATTGCCTGAGCCCGCGGGTTCAAGACTCGAACAATAAGTCAAAAATTAGCCAGGCGTGGTAGTGCACGCCTGTAGTTCCAGCTACTTGGAAGACTGAGGCGGAAGAATCGCCGGAGCCCAGCAGGTCAAGGCTGCGGTGGCCGGGAGCGGCCACTGCACTCCAGTCTGGGTGACAGAGTGAGACACCAACTCAAAAAAATAAAAAATAAATAAAATTCTTCAAGCTCTTTTTCACACAAGTAAGTGTCCATTTTACAAAAATAGAACTTTCTCCACAGCAGCAGAACCCAAGTGGTCTGTCCTGCCCAAGGAGCTTCTTCACCTTCATCCCCTCCTCTCCTCAAAAACAGTTTGCCTCCCCCCTGCAAAAAATAGAATTATATTGAACATATTATATGATACTCTACCTGTGTTCTTCATTTAACAATAGGTTGTGACTATATTCTATGCCACTAAGTATTCTTTTAAAACAGCATTTTAAATAGTTGCACATAGGATAGATGTATTATAATTTGCTTAATTAAACCATTTTTTAGCATTTTATTTTATTTTTCTATTTTTGTACAATTCTGTAAACACTGCTGTATGGAACGTCGTTCTGCAAGAGAGTTCCTGAGTCAGAGACTTTGTGCATTTTTAAGGGTTGATTTTGGTTTAATGCAGATCGATATACTTGTGACCTTAGCTCCTTTCCTGTCTACCAGTTCAGTCAGCATGGAGTTATTTGAGGTTGGATCATCACTTAGAGACAAGAACACCTGTGTTTAAAGTGATATCATACTTTGTTACCATTCAGGCCAAGGTGACAGAGGAGTTAGCAGCAGCCACTGCACAGGTCTCTCATCTGCAGCTGAAAATGACTGCTCACCAAAAGAAGGAGACAGAGTTGCAGATGCAGCTGACAGAAAGCCTGAAGGAAACAGACCTTCTTAGGGGCCAGCTCATCAATCTGCAGACAAAGCTCTCAGGTATGTCCTAGATGGGAGATGCTGGGATTTTTCCCTTTTAAACTTAAGGAATTAAACTATTTCCTTCCTCTCAATCCTTGTGACATAATGCTTAGGAAGTTTTTAAAGAACTGAGCCAAAAAAGGGGACCAGTATAAAACCTACACAATTGTTTGACTTACAGAACAACAAAAGAGCTGACTGTTCATTTAGAATTGATCGGTTGGCACAGTTCTCCTTGGTTTGGAGAAATGTTGCCTTCAGCATCTTTGGTACTTATGATGAGCCTCAAATGCCTGGAAGAGTGAATATGTTGTTCTAAGTCATGACTCTATAGAAGTTTAAGAAAGAGGTGCTTCCTTTTGTAGTTTCCTCTTTGCTAGAGAATGGCTTGCAACTCTTCAGCCTGGCACTCAAGGCCTCTCCAACTTAGTTTATCTCTCATTATATTGCCCAGTTCACCCTGGCTCTGACCATATCATCAAGCCTGCTGGCTACTCATTAGCATAGTCTGTTGTTCTTGTCTTGCCTTTTATCCATGCTATATTCTCTGGACTTGGTGTGTCCACCATCACCAATATTTACCTCTAATCTTCTAAAAAATCTGCCTTTCAGAAGCTTCCTCAGTTTATCTAGAACATTTGATCTCTTTTTAAAAATCCTTTATCTCCGCTTTGGGAGGCTGAGGTGAGTGAGTTGCCTGAACCCGCGGGTTTGAGACCCACCTGAGCAACTTGGCGAGACCTCATCTCTACAATAAGTCAAAAAATTAGCTGGGCATGGTGGTGCACGCCTGTGGTTCCAGCTACTTGGAAGGCTGAGGCGGAAGGATTGCCGGAGCCCAGCAAGTCGAGGCTGCGGTGACCAGGAGCATGCCACTGCACTCCAGTCTGGGCGACAGAGTGAGACTCCAACTCAAAAAAAAAAAAATCCTTTATCTCTTAGTGCATTATTATAACCATTATCACAGTTATCCTTTGATAAGCACCATTTTTATGTCTGTTTTCCCCTCCAAAATGCCAGCCCTAGAGGACAAGGATGGTGTTTTGCTCATCTTTGTAAGGTCCTTTCCTCCATATTAGTGTTGGTTTAGTGCCTGGCACAAAGATAGTACTTAAGCCATGGTGATTGGATAGAAGATTTGTGAAGACCAGCAGGTTGATTCATCAGTTTTGGTGTATAGAAACAAATGTGGAAGACACAGGTGGGCCCAGTTGGCAGGCAGCAGCTGCCTTAGAAGCGAAGTTCACTTGCCTAATAGAGAGCTAAAATATAATGATGTTAGTTGGCAAAGTGCTTGAAGATACTTCTCAGCCGGGCTCGGTGGCTCAGCCTGTAATCCCAGCACTTTGGGAGGCTGAGGTGAGTGGATTGC